CGTATACTTAATGGTTGTTTTTATGAAACCTATTCAGATAAAGTATAACTATTTTTTTTTAAATATAGGGTCGGCTAGATGTTGATATGACTGATAAAACAACAGTACGCTATTTTATTAACACTTGGTGCGTTTTTAAGTAATTAGGTCTGTATTATATAGACTTTTCCTCTTCACTAGACCCTGAATGATTAGTTTGATGCCAGTTTAAAACGCTTTCAAAATTTGACTCAATGAGCCACAGACAAACATATGAGCACTACATCTGCCCTATGGGTGAACTATTTTGAAAGGATACTTTACTTCTGCTTTTTCCTTAATACAAGCAATCAAAAACTAAAAAATTGAGTAGCAATCGTGGGTTATGAAAATTTGTGTTGAAACGGCTTTGATATTAACAACTGAGCAAACCAGACCCTACATCGATACATCTTATATAACTCAGGTTTCCCAAACAACTAGAAGTTTACATTTACAGAACACACAAAACCGGCCCTTCATCATTGAATAGACATACAAATTATAGTAGGCTCTACATAGATTTTACAGACAGAGAGTATACAGTAATATTATACATATACAGAACACACTGTTCATATGACTTATACAGAACAAGTTGTCAAAACAGGTCCTGTATCTTAATAGGCCTACAAATTATTGTTCAATAGAAAGTATATAGGCAACATACACAGCACATTATAAGAAACAACTGTGGACCTGTCCTTCTGCTAATGTGTTTTATAAAGAGAAAAATCATATTTAAGTATTTTAAACTGCGAACCAGGATTACATTATTTGAAGGAGAGATGGAGGGCGGGGGGAGAATGGGGGTGAATTTTTAAAACATGCCTATCGTGTCAGTGTCTAGTTTCAACAGTTACTTGAGACTAGCCAACCCCTCCCATTTTCCGAAACACAATCCGACATTGTAATATTAGGACTAGTTTTAGGAAACAACTGTGGCAGCGGCAGGATTTTGTTATGGAGAAGCATTCACACAAACACATTATATATATATATATATATATATATATATATATATATATATATATATATATATATATATATAAACTAGTGGTGGACTGGCTGTGTCCAAAAGGCCCAGTATACCCCTGCATATAACGTACAGTATTATGACGGTCAAAATTTCGAACCAAAAATTCCTGATAGCTATACGAACAGGCCGTGGCCATTAACGTGAGAAAGATTTCATTATGGGGGTAGATGGGTGATCCAACCTTCCTAACAACGCCATCTGCCTGTGCCATAGACACAGGCTCGCATAATTACTTTCAGGAAAATGCCATGCAACTGATTCCTTAAAACAGCAACACTGTTTAGCAAGGACACAGGTAAGGGTGTCAGGTAGAGCAAGGTTTATCTTTATCAAATCATGGGAACGAATAGGAGGTAAAGTTAAGGCAGCAATAGGCTGAATCTTGACCTAGGAGGATAGAACAACAGACAGGCGATAGGCTGAATATAGACCTAGGATATAACAAAAGACAATAAGCTGAATGTAGACCTAGGATATAACAACAGACAGGCAATAGGCTGAATGTTGACCTATGAGGATATAACAGGTTGGCGATATGCTGAATGTTGACCTATGAGGATATAACAACAGACAGCGATAGGCTGAATGTTGATCTAGGATATAACAACAGACACACAGACAATAGGCTGAATGTAGACCTACGATATAACAACAGACAGACGATAGGCTGAATATAGACCTAGGAGGATATAACAACAGAAAGACAGACGAATGTAGGCTGAATGTTGATCTAGGATATAACAACAGAAAGACAGACGAATGTAGGCTGAATGTTGATCTAGGATATAACAACAGAAAGACAGACGAATGTAGGCTGAATGTTGATCTAGGATATAACAACAGAAAGACAGACGAATGTAGGCTGAATGTTGATCTAGGATATAACAACAGAAAGACAGACGAATGTAGGCTGAATGTTGATCTAGGATATAACAACAGAAAGACAGACGAATGTAGGCTGAATGTTGATCTAGGATATAACAACAGAAAGACAGACGAATGTAGGCTGAATGTTGATCTAGGATATAACAACAGAAAGACAGACGAATGTAGGCTGAATGTTGATCTAGGATATAACAACAGAAAGACAGACGAATGTAGGCTGAATGTTGATCTAGGATATAACAACAGAAAGACAGACGAATGTAGGCTGAATGTTGATCTAGGATATAACAACAGAAAGACAGACGAATGTAGGCTGAATGTTGATCTAGGATATAACAACAGAAAGACAGACGAATGTAGGCTGAATGTTGATCTAGAATACAAAAGGTACGCAGCCCACTGGCTGTATGTGGACCTGCGATTTAACAACAGGTTGAATGTTGCCCTAGGATGTACACGCATGCAGCTGCGCTTTTGTTTATCAAAGAGATGACACAAATATTGACAGAATACGATTGGACAAAAATACATGACATGAACATTAGGACAGATGGCGCCATTGATTAGCTAACAAAATCAAACCTAAGAGCTTAGACACGGAACGGACGGGGATGCAAACGCTATGCCTTAAACTGCCTAAAGATAAATCCGAATGTTTTTAATCAACCTCATCAATGTACCCATTTAAAGACACGTCATTTGAACGTTTTCCTTTGTCTATCCGCCAATGGCACTCTCTTTAACAAGAAAACAGACTTTCATGTCCTTGTCTTAGGGGAGAAGTCTGTGTTCGTGGCTTTGTAGACAAAAATGTATGTGGTGGTATTATTTACCAGGTAGGTCCGGCAGCCCCCCCCCCCCTCCATTCTGAAAAACCCAAATACGGCCGGGATTAGAACCGATAAATTTCCGACGGGGAAGGAAAACACTAGAAACCACTTCCCAGCGCAATATGAGTTGTCACAGGGTTGAGATCTTTTGTAGAGCGCGCGTCACAAGTACCAACAAGCTCTGGGCAAGGTGATTTGAATCCCCGAGGATCAGCCGAGTCGCAATACAATACAGGTGGTCGAGGTACTGCTTGATGATGCTGCAACCTCTGTCATGCAGTAGCGAATGGACTAAAGGGGGTCGTCCATAAATAACGTCACACTCGTAAGGGGGGGGGGGGTGGGTTGTCCATGATTTTGTGACGGTGTGTGATCAGGGGATTCAGATGGTGTGACGTCACACTTTTGCATTGTAAAAAAAGCAATATTAGAAAACGAGTTTTAGCCGTTATTTCGCGTTTTAGAAAACTGTTTTAATACATTTTAAAAGGAATTGATTAAAATACTAGAATTGACGCAGTTCAGACAAGATTTTTTTTATAATATCGAGGTTTAAAAAAATATTTCAACTGCAATTTTGAGGGGGTGGGGGATGTTGAAGACTGAGGTGTGACGACATTGGGGGGTGGGGGGTCTGGCTTTTTTTAGACGATGTGTGACGGAAGGGAGAGGGGGAGGTAAAAAATCGTCAAAAAAGTGTGACGTCATTTATGGATGACCCCTAAGACTTAGCCTGTGGTTGAATGATCTCGATAGAATGAAAAATAAAGACAGAAGGACGTACTCTCCGCCCCTTGTACTCTGTAAGTGTAAGACAAAGATGATGACAAAGGTTTAAGTTGCCAAACTTGTGACACCGTTCTTGTAGTGGTTCCTGCTAAATGAGATCAATACAAGAGAAAGTTGTGATTATGGGGTATCAATAAATGACGTCACTCCTAGGTGAGATTAGACTTGTGACAAGGAGAGGTGGGAAGGGAAATGTCAGAAAGGGTAACAGTATGTTTGCTGGTAAAAATTGCATGATGTAATTTATTGACGCCCCCCCCCCCCCCCCCCCCACATTATCGCAACCTAAAATGTAGCTATTTCGTAGTTATTGAAGAATTGCAAATTGTCATAAAGATTCTCATAGCAGATGTTGACCCATCTAAGATAATATTCTCACAAGAAATCTGTGTTTCAAAAGAAGTATTCGTACAAGGAAAAGATCAGGGGCTTAGAATAAAGCATAACGTCAATTTTTGGGGAGGTAAGGTAAAATCGTCAAAAAAAAAACCTGTCGTGTATGGACAACTATTTTCTTAGCGGGTAATTAAACCGTCACTTAAGCGGACAGCACAGCACGACTAGTCATAATGTGGTCACATTTTGAAGTTCGATTTTTGGGTGCATAGCCAGGTTTTCGATGTAGGGTGGGCGAGGTGCGCGTAAAAGAGGTTTAACATATTCAATTAGGCTTGCTATAATAATTTTAGTTCGATGTCTAATTTTCTAGGAGTTGTGCCATTTAATAAAAATGCAGAGTGGGTTTATACAAGACAAACCTTTGTGTTTTTTTGGGTTCTGATGTAACATAGGGGGATTTAGTTCAGAAAAAAGATAAGCAGTATTCACTAAAAAAAATAAATAATTATTAGACATTTTTAGGTTAGGGAGGTGGATGGAACTCAGTGACGTCAATTGGGGGGGGGGGGGGGGTAGTAAAAATTAAAATTTGCGATATATGTTATGGCCGATCCCATTCAACGTATAGATCTAAATCCACGTCATGTATGGACGATCCTTGAACAGAAAGAGACACCGAAGCACATAAATAAAGCAAAACCCCAGCAATAAAACAACGACTTGACCTTTGACCTAGGTCACACGACAACAAAGAGAATCCACAAAGAAAAAAAAAGGGAAATAGTAATTCAGCACTATTGTGTAAACTGGTTAAACTCGGAACCATCAAGTCAGTAGACAATAAGGTTAAAGAAAACAACTTGACCGGCTCTACTGTTTCACCTGCAAGGGATGGCACCTGAGTGTGGTAAAATGGGGGGGAGGGGGGGAGGGTTCCAGGAGATAACCCAGAAGATACGAATACAGATCTATAAGAACAAAATATATAGCACACACATATAAATGATATGGAGGTCAATAGTCAGTAACTGATGGGTAAACAAAGTTCAATCATGAATTCATCTCTATCATTAAATATGATTAAAAATTACAAATAAGATACTGGATATACATGTTTTAATTTAAATTAACAAATACATTTTGTTTTTATACAAAACATCAGTATACAGGACAGGCTGAGGGTCTAAGCATTGAAAGCATGGACGTGAGGGTGGGAGGGGAGGGGGGGGGGGGCAGTCACTATGAAAAAAATAGAACTTCTACAGGCAGAATCATATATACAATCAGGCACACAACATGAGATACATCTTATGACAGACATTGCACCAGACCCAACAACAGATACATCTCATTTAATTAAATCTTTACTTTATAATGTATATTCTTGGTTTTTTTTTCTTCTCAAACAAAAAAATTTTATTGTAAAAAAAAAAAAATCAATGGTTATTATTTTTCAAGAAGAAAAAAACAGTTCTGACACTATCCTATCTAAGAACAGATGTTACTGTAGGGCCAACACACATATGCTCCTGGTTTTTCCAACACAATTTTACCACTTCAAATGTTATTGTGTTTGATTTCTTTGAAAAAACAGTTACCTACATTCTTTCAATGAAAAAAAATAAAAAAATAAGTACCCTATTGAAACATTTTAGAAAATTGGACTTTAAAATTTTCTCTTGTTAAATTTATTTTTAGAAACATTTCATTTTATGTTTTCGTTTGTAGTAATTAGAAAAGAAAACGCAAGAGACTAATTAAAAAATCGTAAGGCTGATTTAGACAGACAACCTTGCAAACACTTGTAATGCTGGTAAATTAAGACAGATAAAAAATACATCTTCTTTACACACCCACTCACAATTTGAACAAATTAAAAATTATAAACTCATTCATCTAATGGGGTTTCCTTTATACCAGCCCAATACTTCAGGCTAAATGGTTTACTAAGCCCCTCACCATTTCTAAAAGACGTAAACAGGCAGTCTGTTTTAACACACAGGTTAAAATAAGTTGCTCAGTGATGACAAATCCTGGATCTAAAGATTTAAAAATGGCTGTATAGATGCTGTATTTAGTTTTAAAAACAAAAACAATGAAAAATCAGGCATGTAATGTTAGAAAGTATTGACGTAATAATTTTTGTTTTAAATAGAATTCTTTGGTTACAATATCACTAATTAAGTGTATCTTCTAGAAAAGCAGCTCTAAAAGATGCATTTAAGTGTGTGACCAAAATACACAGGGAAAATATGTACAATTATCAAATAGAAAGAAAAAACCTATGGTAAATGTTCAGCCCATTATCTGCAGAATCTCTGACCAACTACAGATTTAAAAGACATTTCCTCCATTATATTTAACCTGGGTATTCAAGCAAGTCCCTCATTAGCATCTTCTTTTCATTTTAAGCAGAACATAATACACACATAATAATAGAGGATATTTAATGCAGTTTGAATTCAAACAGCTACAAACAAAACAAAAATCTCAACAAACTTTTTCAAACCAACACTTAGGAAACTATTCAGAGTTCAGTTATCCATGATGATTCTGGAATAGGCCACTAAACACATCTGAATATTCCAAATCGAAAAAAAAAAAAAATGAAGTAGAAAGACAAATTTTTTCACACATAGGTAAACCGATCTTGTAATTTCCCACCGCAGGCTTCACATTCATTCCTGGAGGAGTCGTTCTCCAAGGTACAGCCCGGGCACGCCTTCTTGGTTTGACCGCACTGGGGCTTGGTCACATCCGGGCCATGCCGGCTGCAAGAGCACACAGAGCAAATAATGTCTAATCCTGTGTTGTGCGCTGTGCATGACTTGCAGTCCCAGCTTAGAAGGCTGATGTCCATGCTCCGAGCTGACCTAGTGTTTAGAGCCTGCTGCTGGAGCGAGGCCTTGGGGTCGGTGAAATGTAATGAATTGGACTTGCCAGCTATTTGTTTCTCTCTGCGCAGCAGTGGTTCTGCCAACGTAGCAGCCCCGCCGTTGGGCTGCCTGCTGATGAGTAAATTAGTCTGCGGGTGAGACCTAATTACGCTGGATAAAGTCCCGGGGTAATGGGTGTATGAGGAATTAAAAGAATCACCGTCTGCAAAATCCTCTGTTGTTTTCTTTGCAGATAGATTAGGTTTCAGCGCTCTAGACGGTACAGGAGGTGGTGCGGAGGGCTGTCTATAACTGTAAGAAGGTATTCCGTCAGTTAAAATGTTAGGAGCCTGGTATATAGTTTGCTGGGCGGGAATACTACTAGACGATATAGGAGAACTAAAGGGATCACTTGTACGATATCCTTGGTCAGTAAAAGATGGTTGGGAGACCCCAGGATATTTAGGATGTATTTGTTGCTGTTGTACCGATGTGTACTTTACACTTTGTGGGTAAGGGGTATACATTTTGTGCACGTCTCCGTCGATTCCTTCGTCGTACGAACCATCATACAAGGCAGAGCCTATCCTTGAACGAATGGGAACTGTTGTATACCCTTGCAAAGGTGGGGTGGGTAAACTGCTGGACAGTTCTAGCTTCCCCACATGCGAAGGGAGTGGTGGGGGTTTTTGTGGGTAGTGGCCTGGTACCGCTGTCCTGAGCCACTTCCAATCCTCTTTCTGTTGCGGCTCCAGCGAGGCCTGCCCCATCAACGTTACAGACTGCTGGGGGCTGTTCTGCTTCTCTAAAGCTTTGATGCTCTCCATGATGTGTTCTTCACAAGTGCCCTGCGGCAACTCGGGTAAAATCTCTTCAACTAGAGGCACAATGCCAACAATATCATTACTAGCAGCTAGAGGAGAAGATGGGGGTAGATACACATTACGAAGCCTAAGAGCAGCAGATGGTGCACCATATATACTTTCACTGCCTTTAACTGGCATTCTATTAGGTATCCCATTTAAATTATTGGAAATGGGTTCTCGTTTTGGTAAAGCAGGCGGCCCTAAATCAAAATTCTTCATATTGCTAGAAATATCCACCAAATGACCATTCACGTAATGCACTTGTGGCCTGCTGTCTTTGGACCATTCATTATGTAAAATATTTGACACCGCCTCATTCAAAGAAAATCCTAGACCTTTTATCTTACTATAATGATCAGCAATAGTTCTGCATAGCACAAAACATATTTTACAATCAAATGCGAGAAGCAGTAGAGCATCTTTTTCTACTTTACCGTCATGTATCATGATACAGGTATCTGTAGAAATGGTGTAACCTGCGCTTTCAAACATAAACTCACAGTCTGGTAGCACAGACTTTATCCTACTCCTATAAAATCCACCGTACATCTAAAAAGAAAAAAAAAAATCTTATTCACAAATATAATTTAGAAAAATTATATCTATAGTAAATATGATTTGAAGATTTTCCAAACAAATGGGTTTAACTTGTATCAAACATTTGGGGTCGATAATCATGTTTAACAACATTCAACATTATTCCATCATATTTAGCTTCATTTCAACAATCATATATATATCTTTTCAACAAATGTTCAAAATCATATAAACATTTAAGTTCAATACATAACATTGTAAGATAATGCATTAATTCAAACAGCTATCTTATTCATTTAATATATCTTTGAAAAATGAGAAAAGTTTCCATCAACTAAGAAAAGTTTTTTATGATAAATCATTATCTCCTGTTAACTATTTATCAACTTCTATAATGACCTCTTAATGATAAAAATTTCTGGAAAAAAAAATGATAACTTTGGTTACTGCACTGCACATACAATAATAAACCTAAGAGAAAAGTAATGTTAATGTGCTATTTATAGTGTCATACCTTTATTTTCTTAAACTCTGGTTTCCAGGGTTGTAGTACTAAGAGGAGAAAATATTTCTCTAAACTTTCAAAAGCTTTAGCAACAGAATCCGCTTCATTATTTGGTATAGAATGCTGTCGTAAAGCATTCTTTAATATCTCTAGTATTCTTGGTGATGAAAATAATCGAGACGGTGGAAAAACCTGGAATTCAAAACACAGAAAAATAATAATGACTGCATAATTTGTACCTCTAATCTACAGATTTGGGCTCGATTTCATGCTTTAACAAGCCCACTATGTGCCTAATTGAACTACAACTTGTTTTAATGTTTGATCTGTGCTGGACTGAACAAATCAGTGACTGTTAAAAGAAAGTCTCAAAGCAACAATTAATAACAATCAGACTTCATGCATATAACACTAGTGTTGAATTTAGACTTCTATGATTAGTGATTTAGTCAGATAGTACAAATAAGTTTATAACAATTATTGTCTGTTGTTTTAGTTTCATTTGGCTATCCCTTTTTAATCGTCTTTGATAGAGAGTGCAGCTAATTTTCAATCTTTTTGATAGGAGAGTAACACTTGATATAAAATATTTGAATGATTTTACAAATATTGATTAAGAGAACACTAGCTTGTACTATAAACCTATAAACTGTTGTTATGTTAATTACAAAAGGTTGCTTTTATAAGTGTTATATGAAGGGGGGGGGGTGGAAGATAACTTTTTCTTTTTGACACAGTCACAACTCAAGATGAGAGACAATGTGTCATCAATGTGAGTCACATTCTAATGCGGTCAGGTTTTTTTTGTAGTATACTACAGAACCTATATGTGTTTCTTTTAAATCATGGTTATAATAAAAAAAAAATTAAAAATGTAACAAAAATATACAAGACCTCTTTGACAGACACATAAATAAAGCGCTGAATGTTTACATCCAGTAGTTCCTTGTCTTCTTCTGAAAATGAAGCCTGGCAATGTTGGTATTTTTTAATGTACAATTTTCTTGCTTGATGCACTGCTTCCATTGTATTATGCAGTCTAATATCACTTTAATCAAGAAGCATTTTAATAGTGGCTACTATCACATGAACCATTAATGAAATTTATCACTTGAATTTAAGAAAACAATAGTTTTGAAAATTTATATTCTTTACTTTCACACAACCATCAGTGGTGAAGTATCCATTTTAAAACTTTCTTCGCTATCAAATAATTACAATATTACAGCACCATAGCCAATAAGAAAATGGTGCAGCATATTTGCTACAATCCAACCGATGGACAACATTAGATTCAGAACCATGTATTCTGTAGTTAAAGGACATCTTTCTCTGAAATAAGAAATAAAATATAATTAATCCAATGGTCAAAAAAATTAAAAAAAAAACAAAACAAAACAGACAAACAATTTTATTTTAAAAAAATAATAAAAGCAAATTCTGCTAAATTGTGTAACAAACACAAAAACAAACTCTATCACAAAAGACAATTTTATACAAATCTGTGTATTAATATTCTAATACAATTGAATGCACACAATGCAACAAACTGTTTGGGCCTTTACAACTTTAAAATGAAATGGATCTTTACTCAAATAAGGTTGTCAACTAAGACAACATTGTCTGAAATAAAATGGATGTTCTATAGATTATAATATTTATCTCATAACTGCATTTCTATGGGAATTGAGACTTTAGGACGTCCATGAGTCTAATCAAGGTACTAAACCCTATTTACGGAAAGTCAATTAAGCTGGGCATAGAATTGATCACACAATCCCTTCACATGCCAAAGTCACAGAAACAGCTAAACTCTACTTTATCTGTTCTACTGACTGACAAGTCAGAGAGTGTAGTGTATATCTGTTTTTTTTTCGTGGGTCTTAGTGACGTCTAGTGTCTAGGCCTGAAAGTACATAGAACAAGGAAATTAAAAATAATGGTAGGGACTTACTTCAGAAATTATAATATCACTAAATAGCTTGATTCAACAGGTTACACGTTATTCGTTAAGTAGGACATAATTAAAAAGATTTGCACTATAGACTATTTTTCTCTTCCGATCTGTTGGTCCTCAGCTCTGGAAAACAGTGTATCAATCTTCTAATAAAAAATAAATCGTGAAATGAAATTAGTCTTAATTGCTTAGGCCTAAATCTACTATATATTATACAACTATTAACTTCAATGAAATGAAAAAAAAAGAAGAATTTAAAACAAAACATTTGTTCATGAGCTGGATTTAGTCTCTTTTTAGATTTTAGATCTAGAATTTTCAATCTAGATTGCTAGATCTAGCTACTAGATTCTAGATCTAGATAGGACAGGGGTCGGCAACCTTCTAGAGATCTAGTACTAGATCTAGAAGAACTACACCCAGACAGTCAGTGTGTGACTAGGACTGACTAGGTAGGTTGACTAGGTAGTTGTTGTGACTAGTAGATCTAGATTCTAGATCTAGAATCTAGGTAGTCTAGTTTAGTTATTGTAGTTAAGTCTAGGATCTAAAATCTAAGCAATCTACTTTATTTAACTTTATAAATTAGATCTTATCTATCCTCCAATATTCAATAGTATAGACATAGCATCCAGATAGTGTAGTAGTGTAGTTGTCTCTGTCTAAAAAACTAGATTTCTAAGTAAAATACTAAAACAGTAAAAATAAAATTGAGTAAAAATTTAAAATAGTTAAAAAATAGGCCTAGATCTAGATCTAGATCTAGGTCTACTAACTAAAAGTACTATTCTTCTTGAAACTAACACTTACACAGGCCAAGTGTAGATCTAATTGTTATTTAGAGATTAAATACTTCTACATACCGAAAACATATTAAATCAATTGGAGAGAATCTCAAAAGGAAGTAAAGAAAACAAGGATTTTTTTCCAGATTATTTACACAAATAAGGCAGTAATTCCATTGCTACACACTCGAACAAATGGCGACCCAGTTTGTAGTTAGGTTAGGGAATTCCCCGTTCCCATCGCCCTTTTGCTCTTAAGTGAGTCGGCGTTGGGTTTATTGCGACTTATTGTAATCAATTAAAATGTTAATGAGTCACTTCATAAAATTGTTTACTAAGGCCAAACCCAAAAGAAATAGATCTATAAGAAGAAAAAAATTGTTTCATCTTCGAAATGTGTTGTCAGTTTTATAGTAGGTTACACATTAACCTGTAGTCTACACACATTGGGCCCGAGGGCCTCGTGTGGCCCTAAAACAAATAAATCTAATATTTTCAGTCATGATGTTCCTATGCTCTTTTTTCTTCATTTAAACGTAACTGATTCCGAGTGTTGTATTTTATGTTATGTTTGAAGCAAAAAATAAATAAATAAATAAATAAAATGACACGCAGGGGGCCTACTACTTGATAGATAAAGAGACTACTGACACAGTACTAGTGTCTCTCCTATATAGATCTTGTATAGTTTACTCCCTCTATCGGCTACTAAATTAATAACTAGATCTATTAATATTATTTACTAGATCTATATTATCCTACGCATAGTTGTCAGCGATACTGACGCAAAGTACTAAACAGGCCTAGCATGTACATTTACATTTAATGATTAAAAGTATTTTCTACATTTCGGTATTTAAAGAAAATACACGGATACAATTTAAAATATTCGTGTAACCAGTAATCCAACGGCGTGAATATCTTCCTGACTTATCTTAGATAATCTGTCACTTTTATTACCATATCTAGATCTAGATCTAGCAGTAGCACAGCTGACAAAAAAAATTCATAAAAAACGTTTTAATAACAAGCTTTTATGTAATGATGCACTAAAAAGTAGAAAATAAATTATAGACTACTATTTAAATAACTATAAAGAAAAGCGTGGGTCACTTTAGTATCTATTGGATACCTTTACTAATGTTAAGGAAGACACCCACGCTTTTCTTTATAGTTATTTAAATAGTAGTCTATAATTTATTTTCTACTTTTTAGTGCATCATTACATAAAAGCTTGTTATTAAAACGTTTTTTATGAATTTTTTTTCAGTACTTTACATGTTTTATCTACAATAGAGTTACATGACTAAAAACCATTGCGCGCCTACTGAATATCACGTTCAGTAGGCGCGCAATGGTTTTTGAACGCAGCCATTACGTGGTCGTGATGGCGCAGCTATTGATGACGCGTGTGGTGTGGTTGGCTAGACATGCCTACTAATTCGGTCCAAATTTTAATTAATTTATAAAAAAATAATTAGGCATCCATTTAAGTCAAATTTAGTTTCAGATTGCATTGTCTTCATGTCTTGACCCACGTGCTAACTTTGAATCGTATCGGTCAAGTAGAACTGTTCGAATTTTCACTTCTGCGTTTCCGTCTAGACTGACGACTGACGACTGACGAGGAAGTGAGTTAAATAAAAGCTTGTAAAAATTTAGTTTCAGATTGCATTGTCTTCATGTCTTGACCCACGTGCTAACTTTGAATCGTATCGGTCAAGTAGAACTGTTCGAATTTTCACTTCTGCGTTTCCGTCTAGACTGACGACTGACGACTGACGAGGAAGTGAGTTAAATAAAAGCTTGTAAAAAAAGCCAAGCACTGGAGCTGCACTTAGAATCCTTCTAATTCTCCAGTAGGACTAACACAAATCGCAAAGATCTATTTCTTCCGCTTATGTGTGTGTAGATCTATAATCTATACGAGTTAGCGTTGGATAACAACATTGAGGTTGAATCTAAAAATACCCATGGAAAATACACAAAATATATTCTCCAATCACAGTGAACAATGAAGGTATCAGAGAGAAAAAACGAATATATTTATTGGCATAGGATAATACTTGATAATAGGTTTAAAGGACTAGTAGATCATGGAACGTGAGCGAATACCGAATACCATGGCCATGTAGTGTGCTATTATTGTAGGCATGTGTTGGACACAGCAAGCGGAAAAATAAAAGAAAACCCAAAAGAAACAAATATTTTACACAGGGGAGTCGACTAGAGTTGATTGAGTGGTAGGAATGGTGCAAATACACGAAGGAGGTAGGGGTTGCTTATTTTATTTATTATTAAGCTGGTCCATTGCGCAATGCGGTATAGAGCAAAATAAAGAAATGGCTTTACAATTCTTAATTTCTTCTTATTTTTCTTTAAATTTTTGGCGGTTCTGAAAGGTTGGGTAAATTGATTGCACTATTAGTCTCTATACTATTTTCTTTATCACATAACAGGTATTTTTCTGGAAAAAAAACTTAAGCTTTTTAGAAAATACATAGATTCTAGATCAGAGTTTCTTCCAGACTTTTTTCGCCGGGGGGGGGGGGGGCACTTGAAATTTTCGGGGGAGGGGGTGCGGACACTGTTAAAAGTATTTATTTTCTATATAAATTTCATTTCGTTCGGGGGGGGGGGGGGGGTGGTAGACTTCGGGGGGGGGGGGGGTAGACTTCGGGGGGGGGGAGGCAGACACTGTTAAAAGTATATATTTTCTAAATAAATTTCATTTCGTTCGGGGGTGGGGGGGGTGGGGCGGTAGACTTTCTTTGGGAAGAGATGCCTGGAAGAAACTATGCTGCTAAGTAGCTCTCCCACGCAAAAGAGTCAGAAGGAACATTGCATATGCAGATACATTTCCTCTTCTGTAATAGTAAAATGTATTTTTTTTAAATGAGAGGACATTTTGGCGCCGACATAGATCTAGTCTTTTTAGAAACGATTATAGTTATAGGCCTACTTCTAATAATATTAGTTTACTAAAAATAAAAATATGATTGCTGCGGCCCAGGGAGTATACAAATAAAAGGTGTTTTAACGTATTGAAGAGCTCGGTTTCAGATCCGGGTACCGTTGCTGTGACGAACATCTTAACAACCAAAACACTGGCATCATGACAACGAAGATGTAACATGCACTGACAGCGCAATAACTTCAATTACTGATTCAAATCAGTACTAAAATCAGTGTCATTTTGGTCGCCATAGATCTTCAAAATGGTAAGTTCAATAATTTATTTAACAATAGTCCATTTGCAGTATTAATAAGCCGCCAGGTCGAACTGCAGCTGATCTAGAATTCAGAATTGAATTTCTTAGAATTTAAATTTTTGGTAATCTATCGTTTTGGGTACGTAAAATCGCCCGCAATTTGTAATGTGAAAAACAGGTGACTCCTTAAATTTTAATAATTATTTCACATTTTGAGGAGAATTTATGTTTTAAAAAATTCAAAAATGTTTCCTTGATTCATTTAGATTATTTTAGATTTATGTACCTGTTTTTAAACAATTGAATTAAAACTTTTCCGTAATAAATGAAGACTAGCGATGTTTCAAACAGATGCAACCATGCTCATTTACTATAGCAGCCATCTTGTCTAAGTTTTATTTTTATAAGCTTTTAGCGCCAGATTCAGGGGGAAGTCACTCTATTTTACAAATGGCTGCTATTTATATAGCAAATCTTGCTCTCAGACACTGCTGTTTAAAGTTAATTTCTGGCCTATATCGATATATTTAGCCATTGATTTAGGTTTATTATTCATTTATCTATAATATTTGACACAAAAGTATGACAATATACTTCTATTAAAGCCTTGACAATGAGGTAACGTTTTCGTACATAAATAGCCGCGGGCGATTTTACGTACCCAAAACGATAGATTACCAAATTTTAAAATATTTTATAGTTTATAGGCCTACTAGATCTAGTACTAGATCTATAACTTGTAGTTTTATACATTTTATAAATTCAAACATTCTTATTTAAAACTCACTAATCTAGATCTAAATCTAACTAAAATGTAAAAAATTAACTTAACTATTCAACAGTAGATTCTATGAATCAAACTCTTTGCTGACATACTTTAATTTTAAGAAGTTAGAATCTAATCAAAATCTAGATAGTAAAATCTAGTAGTCTATAGATCTAGTAATATAAATGAGTAGAGGTGAGTGGTATCATACTGCAGTCATCAGATTACAATCAGACAGATTGTAATTTCCATATTCTTGATTTTGATTTGATACCCTACAGATGTAGATCTAGAAATTATATTTAAATAGAAAATATCTTGAAAAGAACTTAAAATGGTACCCACTTTCTTAGTTTCTTATTTAATTATAAATGATAAATATTTAATAATAGATTATCAATCCTATTCTATAAATATACTTGACTTAAGTCTATTCTTAGATATACATTTTTAAAAGTGAATTTAATAAAAGCAATATTATAGGCCTACTATTAATTTAACTTTTAGAAACAAACAGAAATGTGAACAATACATTTGAAATTTTAAGGTTATTCCTTTGATGAATCATTTTTACTTCAGTGTGTTATGTATTCTTTATTAGTTATTCCTTTATTCATTTTCATATTAGCATGTTGATGCTGTTGGCATCACATAAATTCCATTAATAAATAATGACCATTTTGAATGATATGCCAGGCTGTACCCCTAACATAACCTAGCCCTAATCCTTAGTGAGGTGTCAGCCAAAGATTGGGAAGTTTTGGGCAGAATTAAAAATTAGCTTAGGTTTGAGGTATTGTGGTCAGTGGTAAAAGAAATTGTATGGCTTATTAACAATTACATTTAGAAATTCAACTGAATGATTGCAATTTTATTGGCTTTTATAATTTACAGATTTAAAAGTAAATTATAAATGATGACAAATATTGTTTATAAAATATAATTTTTGTGTTTCCTCTTTTTTTTTACAGCCACCTAAAAAGAAAAGTGGGAAGAAGGGTAAGCAGGGGAAAGGGAAGGGTAAGGGCTCCATATCTATTGTAGATGGTATTGCAACTGAAGATATGACACCTGAGCAGGTAGATGATGTTATATTTGCTGAGTTGAAGTTCTGTTGCAGTTTATTTGTTAACGGTTTCAAGCTTCAGTTGGTTGTTGTATTTGTTTTGTTTTGCATTCTTATTTTTTTATTTATAAAAAGGGAAAAAGGGCAAGAAGGGAAAGAAATCAGGGAAGAAGGGTGGAAAGAAGGGAGCACCAACTGTAATAGATGGAATTCCCACTGAGGAAATGTCAAAGGAGCAGGTAGTGTATTAATATGAATTCTTGATTTATATGCAGTATATCCAAGTGGTAAATGCACAGACTTTTTACTGTAAAATAAAAGGTTTAATTTAATGATTTCAAATTGTGTAATATTTTTTTCCACAAGATTTCATTGACCGCTATTATTGAATATGGTGTTTCAATTTTTAAAAATACTATTAAAAATATTATATATTACCCAGCTGTATATTTATCAAAGTATGTTTTTATGTTCCCAAAGAACTCAAAATTTGTGCCCCTCATGTGATGAAAAGTAGCATGTATCAGCTAAAATGCTAACATAAAGTATAAATTTGGGATTTGTTGTTTTAGTTTTCATTATCTTTGATGTTATTAGTTTGAAGTTCGTTTTTTTTAAAATCATTACCAAATTAAGAATGAAATGTGAATGCACTATTAAAAACCATTCACTTTTTTAATGTAAGTTATTACATTTTTCTTATTTCTACTTAAGCTCTATGCAATGTTAATGTGTAAAATTACAAATAATTCATTAACTAACTGACCAATAATTCATAATGAGATTTTTAAAACAGATGGTTGCATTATTCTAAGAACTAGTGGTCAATAAAAGAATAACTTCATTTAATTAGAGCATATTTTCACAATAACTGTTAGTTTTCAAACCTATCTATTTTTACTTACATATAATAATGCGTAATTTCCTTAATAGTGTTTGTTTATTATGAAATTGAAACATGTGTTTTGTAGCTTGAGGAGCATGTTCAACGCATACGAGAAGAGCTTGAGCGCGAGAGGGAGGAGAGAAACTACTTCCAGCTTGAAAGAGACAAAGTTAACACATTTTGGGAGATCACTAAAAGACAGCTGGAAGAAAAGAAAGCAGAACTACGCAACAAAGATCGTGAAATGGAGGATGCAGAAGAAAGGCATCAAATTGAAATTAAGGTATAAAAGTGAAAGTAAATGGTAATTCAGATCTAAATCTCATGTAAAATATAGTCTTTTTGTGCTGTTAGTTATTGTATAACAAAATATTTTGCTAGCTATGTATGGATAAATAAATGTTATCCAAGTAACCTATATTCCTGTGTTAAATATATTTTCTTAATAGATTTAACTCAGACCAGTTGATCATCTGTAAAATTGAAGTAATATTTTAGCTGCTAATTACTTAACCATTCCTGTTAATCGTTTTTTTTTTTTTTTTAAAGTCTGTTTCTAATTAAATTAGCTTTCTTGGAATTTATTTTAAGCATTTAAAAAAAATCTAACTTTTATTCATTTAAGGTTTACAAACAAAAAGTAAAACATTTACTTTACGAGCACCAGAACAACATATCAGAGCTCAAAGCAGAAGGGGCTGTCTCACTTAAACTAACTCAGGATAATCATCATTCATCTGAACTAGAGCTTCGAAAGGACAAACGAGCTCTTAAAGTAGAACTTAAAGAGCAAGAACTTGCACATGAAGATGTCATTAAGAATTTGAAAAAGGTTAGTTTTTTAAATATATTTTTATTGGGTGGCTAGAAATATCTTGTTGTGTAAAAATTATTTCAGTTAAAGAGCATCACTTCTTTTTGAAGAAAAACATTTAGCGATAATTTAAACCACTGATAATTACTTGATATAATTATATAGTATAATAACAATTTTAAAATTAGAAACATTTTGTTCACATTGTCCATTGTCAAAAAAAAAACTTAAATTCCAAATGACACATATTTTTCAGAAAAATGATGAGGTCATGACCAATTTGCGCAACACTTTTGAGCGCCAAGCTAAAGAAATTGAAAACAAGTATGAAAAGAAAATGAGGTCATTGCGTGATGAGTTAGATTTAAGAAGGAAAACAGAAATCCATGAAATTGAAGAAAGAAAGAATGGGCAAATTAACACATTAATGAAAAACCATGAGAAGGCTTTTAGTGATATCAAAAACTATTACAACGATATCACTTTAAATAACCTTGCTCTTATCAATACATTAAAGGTTTGAATTCAATTTTATTTTTTGTTACTAGGAGGTTAAAACTATTAGAATTCATTTAGTAGTATCAGAAACTATTGTTGAACAGATTTCTTCGTTCCTTATTTTTAAGTTCTGAATTTTAAATTGTGGTTTCGTATATGGTTATTGACAGTACCTAACCAAAGTCAAGTTATAAAAAAATTAATAACAAATGTGAATTTTGACACTATACATTTCTCTGTTTAGGAACAAGTCGAAGATATGAAAAAGAAAGAAGAAAGGATGGAGAAACAGATGGCTGAGGTTATAACTGAGAACAAACGTTTGGCTGAACCACTACAGAAAGCCCGAGAGGAGGTGGAGGATCTGAGGAGGCAGCTGTCCAACTATGAGAAAGATAAAGAAATTCTTAAGGTTTGTCAACTGTTTCATCTTTCATACCTAGTCACAGAAAAGAAGACATTCTTGAAGTTTAACATCTTTCATACCCAATCACAAAAAAGAAGGCATTCAAGTTTTAACATCTTTTAATTTTGTTGCAGACATAAGTTCCAGACATACATTCTAGACTAGAAATATTTTGAAGGGCTAGATAAATATCCCCTTTTATATCTTGTTATAAAGTATAGCTTCCACTTAACTATGTTTAGTTTTAAGTTCATCAGAATGTATACTTGGTGCTGGTTTGTTTCTTGCACAAAATGGCAAAGTATAAACTTCTGTAATAAGCAGAAGGTCAACAAAGACAGGAGTTGAAAAGGATTCCACATATACTTTTCATAAGTTGATACATATGTGGTACTGCTTAAATTACCAGTTAGTTATCATTTAAAGATGAAAATTGTTTTAAGTATTACTTATTGATAGTTCTTTTCTTTTTATTATTCTAATGACCGTATTTATATTTGATATTTAGAATGCTAAAGGCCATGTAAAACAAATGACAGAAGAATTTAAAGCACTCAAATGGGAACATGAAGTCTTGGAGCAACGTTTCCAAAAGGTAAATGGAAATTGGCTCATCTTTTTCTTTTGCCAACATTTTTTAGTGTTTCCACTTAGCAAAAACTTGTTTTGTGAAGTAATTATTTAAAATGCCATTTTCTCGCTACCATTTTCTACTTTTTAATTTATTTTATTTCCTTAAATTAATTCTGACATCTACAGAGATCTTTTATTTCTTTTACACTGTAAAAAAAAAATTCTTGTTTTTAAATTTAAAGATTCAAGACGAAAGAGATGAACTGTATAGAAAGTTCATCAAAGCCATTCATGAGGTCCAGCAGAAGTCAAACTTCAAGAATTTATTGTTGGAGAGGAAACTTTCTGCGCTTGCTGACACTCTTGAAAAGAAAGAAGCCCAGCTGAACGAGGTCTTGTCTGCATCCAATTTAGATCCTACAGCTCTTACCGTGGTGACAAGAAAACTTGAGGTCAGTTGTATCTTTCTCGCTGTAATAGTTAAGTTCTAGACAGTCCATGGGGCAAGTGAAGTAGAGTTCACTTGCTCCTGTGACCTCGGCATATGAAGGGATAGTGTGGTCAGCACTATGCGCAGTTGCCTTTACTTTCCCTAAGGTAAGTTAGGTACCCATCAGAACTGGTGGACTCAGAGACGTTCTACTAACTTAAACCCAGATTCGAACTTGAGACTTTTGTGTTAGTCTAGCGCTCTACTCCTAGGCCACACTGTTCCATTCTCTCTATAATAACCAGGATCAAACCTTTATTAGCAGCAATGATTTATTGTTCTCACCTGTTATCACTATAAACATCTCTTTAATCCATTGTCATTTTCAGTTGGTTTTATTTAAAATAAAATCTTACTTTCAGGATGTGCTTGATTCTAAGAACAGTGCAATCAAAGACTTGCAATATGAGCTTGCTAGAGTTTGTAAGGTAAAAAGTTTTCAATCACCATATTTTACAGGCTCTATAGTCTTACAATAATATTTAAATAACATTTAAATAATATTTAAACATATAGAATAGCTACTTAGGTAAAGTATAAATTTCAGCCACTACTGCACTTGTGGAGGGATAGGCATTATTCTCATTATGATCCTATTGCATGGTCTTGATCTTGCCTTGGTATAAAAAAGAATACCTATAGGCCTACTATAACTTTTAAAATTGTGGTTATTTATAAACTGTATTTATTTTAAAACTCATAATATTTTTTTAAGACCGACATAGTATGCAGTACTTAAATTATAATTTTTTTTGAAATTGTTAATATTTTTTTCAGGCTCATAATGACTTGTTAAGAACATATGAATCCAAACTGGATCACTTTGGAATACCAACCGAGGAACTTGGATTCAAGCCACTTGAGAGCACTGTGGGAGGTCAAACTCTTGGTCATGGCCCGGCTGGTTTGGTCTCTGCCCCAACCTAAACCTACGGGAATTTTGTAGTGAAATGCCTTATTTAGAGAATCTTAATCCTATTTGTCTTGTCGTTTGATCAACTATTAGTCAATTGATAGGTTTGCCCCAAACTGAACTTCAATAGGCAAATGACACTTAAATGGTTGTGCTTATTTTTCATGAACAATGGAAACAAAATATTTTTTATAAGAATGTTTATTTAGCACAGGTTTAGGTTTGCTATCGCTAAATAAAAATCAGGATGTGATTCTCAAAGATAGGCATGTTCATGAAATATTAAAATTACAGGCAAAATGAATCTCTGAAAATCTACAAAATTTAAACTTGTGCACAAAAGAGTGCACTTGCAACATCTTGTTGTAGTTGTCAGTGTGGGATTTATAACGGTAGAGTTTCTGAATTTTTGTCACTGAAAGAATTTTGTACTAAAGTGTGGATGTCAAGAATAGAATTATACTAAGTGTCCAAATGAATATAAAAAAAAACAATTGATGTATGTGGTCACTTGTTTGATTTATTTACAACTTACCCAAACTAGATGTGACTTACTTATCCTTCTAGCAATTTTTCTGGCAGGTTTTTAAAATGAAGAGAAAAGTTTTTTAAAAACATTTTGTCTATGTGTGTTGAAAAGTATACTTGCTTCAAGACTCACAGCTTACATCGAGGATATCATACATTTTTTCCAAATAAAAGACTGAAATGAACTTTGAAAAGACTATTTTTGTAGGACGTTCGACTTACAATGACATTTGACTTGTAAGAAATATTTACCCTAATTTTTTTAGAATTATTTACTTTTTCTAATTAAAATTGAGTGTTTTTAATTTGTTAATTTTCTTCTGGGAGTTAACAAGAAACATGACAAAATTTTGTGATGTTCAGTCAAGGGAAGTAACAAAAATAAAATGTAAATATTTTCACAGCAATGTGATCTAATCTTTTTTAAACCAACCATTTGTTTGTTTCTTCGACCCAAAACTCTTTTAACAAAAAAAACAAAAAAAACAATGAGAGTTTGTAACACCAACATCAAAATCATAAAAATACAAAACTTTGTAAACACACTAAAGTTTCTTTCTTACTGGTTCCTTTATTAAGTTTAATAGCATATTTATAAAATAATGGCATTTCTAAAAACACTAAGCCTATATTTAGTTTAAAGGATGAATTAAAAAAATATGATAATTAGATTATGAAAGATTGCTTTCAATACCTTCAAGTTCTCAAAGTATAATAAAATAGGTTTAATATTATCCAGCTAATTTAAAGTAAAATTGACATTTGTAAAAATGAAAAACATCTTAAAAAAATATAGGCATTTTAATAGATATTGTTCATATTATTTGTAATTATAAGAACCTATAAATGTTGTTGTAAATAAATGATTTAAAAAAAAAAAAAAAAAAAAAAAAAAAAAAACAAAAACAAATGAATGTTCCTAGGGTTTTCCACAAAATAATGAAATCAAAGTAGCAAACTAAATTTTGTTGAGGCCCAATAAAACAGTAATCATAAATTATTTATGTTTTTTATGTATAATAGTAAATTTTTTGCATGCAGTAGTTAGCTACAGTTTACAAAATATACACTACATGATAACAGTATTCAATTAATAAACCCAAAACACCTGGCCATAGCCTCCTATCTGCAAACAACTTGACCATAGCCCGTCTGATGATAAGATATAGACCCTACACTGTTGTTTATAATTGTTTCAACACCTGCACCTTAATAAAACACAGCTGTGAAGAGAATTATAATTACAGTTTGTTTAGAAATACACCCATCATCTGCAATTAGGTTACTAGTTATTTGAATTTAAAAGACACAAATAACTTTTTGAAGAGTGATAGAAAATACAATGTTAAGGGTATAAAAAAAATCAACCATAAATATAATAAAAAAAAATTTCTTGAACAAATAAATTGTATTTAATATTCCAAATAAAATACTAGACCAGTTTTAAAAAAAAATTAGATGAAAAATAATGTTTAATAAACCTTCATTTTTTTATGTGTTATTGCTCATAAACATGTTTATCATCCAAACAGTAGTCCCAATTATAAAACAAAAATACTACCTTGTTAAAAGAAATTACTGAAAGGAGAAAAAGGAGATTTCATCAATTGTAAGCCTTGACATACATAAAACCCATTGGATAAATAATACTTGAGTCCCCTATCTTGTCAGTAAACATGGCAGGTATGCTTGAGCTGTTTCAGATTTAGTAAGTCTCCCATCATGTCCTGGCCGATCACCTTATAAACCCTGAATGGTGGAATTAAAATGCTATTTTGAATTTTGATATATAAAGCTCTAGTCATAGCCTTGTTTTTATTTTAGTACACAGTCAAAGGTAATTGACTGATTTTCACCTTAATTATAAACAAATTAAATTAGGTTAATTCATTGACTAAAAAAAAATGCATTATTTTTTACTGGGGTTGCCTTAAAAGTGCAAACTTAATCCATTTGTTTTTCAAGAAAACTTACTGATGAGGGGAGGTAAGCAAGAACTATCTTGATAATGAAATACACAATTATGAATGTGAAGGATGATTCACAACATTACCTCCATCAGCTAAATAATATTTAGTTAAATTATGAATAAGTTGACAGCAAATGACTGTCACTGCATTTAGACTCATTGATATCTAGTTTCAAAGTTTAGTTTTATTGGTCGGCTTGTCACGATTTGAGACTCACTGTGTAAATTAGATTATGTATAGTCTACTATAAGTAGCGTCACTAGGTTGAGTGTCACTGGGTACCTCACCTCATGGTGTCATCCCCCCCCCCCACACAAGAAAAGAATTTTATATATATATATATATATATATATATATATATATATATATATATATATATATATATATATATATATATATATATATATATATATATATGACTACATAAAAAAATGCAATGTAGGCCTTCACATGTATGTATGTGTATTAGCATGTGTATTTTTTCGTTTTTAATAGTAACGTTTCTCTATAGTCGTTATTAAAACAGCTAAATGTAGCATTGTTTTATCTATATTATAGTTAACAAAAGCTTACGTCATAGTGTCACCCCACCCCCATGTCGGGATCGTCATTTTATAGGCTAGTTAAAAAAACTATTTAACTCTAATTATCATTAATTGAACTGAAAAAAAAAGCATTTTTCTTCTGTGTATTTTGCAATTTATTTTTGTCTTGGTAACCCCTTCTAAATGGTGTCACCCGTTGCGGTCCGTACTTCCCTTGTGACGCCTCTGAGCTTAAAAAAGCTTATATATTTATGTGTGTTTAAATATACGAAATAACTCAAAATTCATTAAAAATACTAACATGCCACGTCTCATTTTCTTTACCTCCTTAACCTTGTCACATATAAAATTTTTTCAATCAAATTGTTTTTTGTTTTCTTTTAATATTGTAAATTACAGTAGGTGTATATAACGATAATATGGTATTGATGTTAAACATACACTTTATTCAGTTATGGTCTTTGTAATGGCCGCTTGTTACAATCAATGAAGCACCCCCCCCCTATACTGCAAACAAGAGTCTTTCAGGCATCTCTTCGGGGGGGGGGGGGGGGGGGAAGGGGCGTTCAGTGCCCCTAGTACACATCTACCGCATCCGCCCCCTCTCGGTCTATGAGATTTCAAAAAGTTAAATAACAAAACAACATCACGTGACTAGTTCCGGTAGTTTTGCAGCGCCCGGTCACGAAGACAAACACAAAAGTGTTTTTTGTTTTTAAAACAAAAACCAAAACAATTTTGAAGCGCAAACACTATTTTGCAAAAAGGGAACAAGGCTACGGGCCAATGGAAGTTTAAAAATAGATTTAAATTGTTTCAATTAAAATTAATTTAAAGGTTATCAACCAAATCTTTGGCTAAGATTGTATACACACCAAAAAAAAATGTTTGCCCACTAAAAAGAGTGAAATTGTAGGCTGGGTCAAACATTGCAGGTGATTCTGACCTGCGGACGAACGCTGGATGGTAAAAAAATTAAAAAGAAAACAAAGGATTGCCATAGTTTTTTAGCCTACACAGCAGTAAAAAAAAAAGAAAAACACTCTGAGAAGTGTAGGCCTATGTGTGTCATAGCAGTGGCGTAGGCAAGGGGGGGGGGGGTTAGGGAGGGGTCATAACCCCCCCCCATAGACCCCTCGGTATATATATGAAAAGTATGAGGGGGGCGTGCAAATCGAAAGTTTGAGGGGGGGGGGGGGGGGTGCAAATCGAAAGTTTGTCCCCGGGTAAAAATTGGACCCCCCCCCTGAAACGATCCTGGCTACGCCACACTGTGTGTGTGTGTGGGGGGGGGGGGGAGGTGAAGGGTCCTTCCTTAACAATAACATATCCGATTTTGTTAAGGCTTTTTTACCTGATATTTGTCTTTAAAACACTTAAAGATATTAAAATAAAAAAAAAGGAATAAGTGCTAATATATATATATATATATATATATATATATATATATATATATATATATATATATATATATATATATATATATATATATATATATATATGCATGCTATTTATAACCCTTTCCCACCAAGAGAAGAATTTTTCCCCCCACCAAGGCTAAAATTTAAAAAAAAAATCCTCATAAAACGTACGAACGTTCAACCTACCGTTCATGTCAAAATAAAATATTTTAAAGAAGATAAATTAAAACAAAACGTTTGATATATCCTGACTTAAAAAATTAAGTAAATTGTTTCCTTTAAAATAGGTCTACTACTAAAAAGACACTTAACAAGGGCGTTTAAGATAGCTGGGCTATTAGACTAAGTACGGTAATTGAAAACTTGTCAACTAACGCCACCACTGCTAATGACAACGTGATGATGAAATATTTGACATTAGCCGGCGTGTCAAAATCTGGGAGTAAAAAACATGACTAAATAAACAAACACATGAAACAAAACTCCGTTAGATTAAGATGTTTACTAGCTCTCATTTCTGAGACGCCAGTGTTTTTTTGCCCCGTTTATTTTTCTCCACAGACGCGAAGTCGAGGGCATTCATTCATTCAGCTCTAGGCTCCATTGATTCGATTACACGCCCGGTGTGTAGCCTGGATGGTTGTGTGTTTACTATGACATTGCAGAAAGATAGATCCTATTTTTTTTTACAGGCGTGGATACGTAAGGTATGTGCATGTTTCATGTGTGTTTATAGAATAAGGTTATCGGTTCTGACAATTATATATATATATATATATATATATATATATATATATATATATATATATATATATATATATATATATATATATATATATATAGGTTAAGTCCCTGTATTTTGTGTTTGGCTATTATAATCGACCGTACCTATTGCTAGTATCGCCGGTACGAATATTACTTAACTTGACACTAACCCCAGCCTCAAACTAGTAATAACCCTATCACTACTATACAGACCTAGATCTACCTTCTACACTGTTTTATAAAGCTTTATAGGCGATCCACTAGCTAATAGCTAATCGATAACAACCTGCGCGTTGATTGAGTATGGATGGATGTTAGCTCTTACGCCGCGTGTTAAACTCATTAGTTTTTTCTGATGGACCTACGCCTACGCCTACGCCTACGCCTACGCCTACGCCCACGCATACACCTACACCTACACCTACACCTACACCTACACCTACACCTACACCTACACCTACACCTACACCTACACCTACACCTACACCTACACCTACACCTACACCTACACCTACACCTACACCTACACCTACACCTACACCTACACCTACACCTACACCTACACCTACACCTACACCTACACCTACACCTACACCTACACCTACACCTACACCTACACCTACACCTACACCTATACCTACACCTGCATCTGCATCTGCATCTGCATCTGCACCTATATCTGCGCCTATATCTGCACCTATACCTGCACCTATATCTGCACCTATATCTGCACCTATATCTGCACCTATATCTACACCTATATCTGCACCTATATCTGCACCTATGTGCATATGCACCTGCACGTATTGAGAGAGAAATTTGAGAAAGAGGGGATGAAAGAGAAAGAAAGCACTAGTTTCAGGAAAGTAATTATTTTAAAAAGTCTTTGCTCTTAGAATGACAAAGATCCCTCCTAAAAATAGTTAAAAGAATGGTATCAAAGGCAGCTAGAATTCAAGATAAAAAAAATATTGTATTTAAATTTTTATTGAATCCATCCCAGACCCCAATACCCGCATGTATTGTAAGCCACTAGTTAAAGAATTTCGTATAACAACATTGTAATTGTATACTGTTATATGGAGACTCAACGAAACAAATCCCCCCCCCCCCCCCCAACCGTATTCACACATCGAACGGCAACAATTATTAAAACCCGTTCTAACATGCAACGGTTCATGAGGCGGCGATAAGTAGCGTTGAAATTCATTTAAAACAACAAGCACAAGGTACACACAGGATATATTGTAGCAGACTCGCAGATATACAGTACATGCACTACATCTGCTTTATTGCTGTGATTAAACTAGTCTGTTTGTTACTGGCAACACTTAAATAGATGTAAAACATGCTGTACATGATAATATGCGATGACATTCTTCACCGATTAGCCCTGGACGTGATAATTAGCGCTGTCTTAATTAGACCAAGGATCGGGACAGTGAAGAGACTAATTACTCGTTTTGGTATATGGAAGCCGATCTAAACGTGAACTCGTTTTGATTCCGTGAATAAACATTGCTTATCTATCAAACACATTTGTTTGATTTATTCCGGGAACAAAATAATATATTTATTAATTCGATTGTCAAACTGGAATGCAGTGTAAAGTAAATTAATGATTCCTTTTGAGTGATTAGTTGGGCAGATGAAGTAGAGAGTTCCTATGTTTCATTCCTTCTACATATGCAGAGATGATGTGGTCAGCACTATGCATAGCCCCAACATAAGTCAGGTGCCCATCAGAGCTGTGTGGACTCAGGGACATCCTACAGGCACAAGTCAGAACCGAGATCCGAACTCGAGACGTTCGGGTGAGCAGGCAAACGCTCTACCAACTACGCCGGCCCACAATAGTACTAGTGCCAGAACATAATAGCTCCCTATATCAATTATATCCATCCTTTAAAAAGAACCTTCTGCTTAAATAAATACCGCGGATCGTACACAAATCAAACACAGCGTAAGTTTTTGGTCGCCCAATGGATTGTCGCCAAAGTTGGATGTTGCCTAGTCAGAGGCGTAGCGACCCCTCCCTGCGCCCGGGGACAAACTTTCAATTTGGCGACCCCCATATATTTTTTATATTTATAATTCAAAACTGCAGCTAAAATGAGCTTTTACTTTTCTTTTCAACCCATTTTGGCGCCCTAAGGGTCGTCGCCCGGGGACATATGTACCCCCCCCCGTCCGTCGCTACGCCTCTGTGCCCAGTTTGTCTGTTGCCCAGTTGGATGTTGCCCAGATGTCTTTCGTCCAGTTGTCTGATATCCCAGCCAAAAAATTAACTACACACTTGACTTATTGAACTCACACCTAGGTTTTGCCTTGACCCGCCCTTGCAACACGTTTCTCTGTCACCTCACATAAAATTGTACGCGGGGCTTAAGGGGGGCTTTGGCCGACTTGTTTTAGTGCGGTCTGAACTTTGCGCCGTTTTTTTTTTTTTGTTACATTTAGAAAACTTTTCAGGGTTGAAAGAAAGTGATAAAACTAAGGAACTAAAGGCTGCTTGGTCACTGTGACTAGATTAATTAATTTTTTACTGTAAATTAAATATTCGCGAGTTACGATTATAGACATATTTTACACTGGTGTCGTAAAATGTCGTTTTAATGGACTCGACCTGAAACAATACTTCCTCTATACTTTGTATACGAGAAAGTAAAAAGGACTGTTTGGTTCCCAATTGTAAACTTATGTAACTTACTTTGTAACATATATTTACAGAGGAGGGGCGGGGGGGGTGCGGACCGCACCGTGTGACACCATTTAGGGGGGTGACACCAAGACAAAATAAATTGCTAGATAAAATTATATAGAATAAATATGTTTTTTTGCCAGTTCAATGAATGGTTAACTAGAGTTAAAAAGTATTTCAGCACACAATGACGTTCTAGACAAAGGAGCGTGTTGGGAGGGGGGGGGGTGACACCATGACGTAAGCAAGCAAACTATAGAAAACACGATGCTACATCCAGCTGTATTAACAACGGACTATATATATATATATATATATATATATATATATATATATATATATATATATATATATATATATATATATATATATAAACATCGTTAGAATTAAATGTGAACACTTTAAAGTTATTACGTGGGAGGGGTGTGTGTGTGTGTGACACCAAATTCATATGTCCCCGGGCGCCGACCTTAGGGGGGGGGCGCCAAATTGAAAGTTTGAGGGGGGGGGTGCAAATAAAAAGTTCGAGGGGGGGGGGGTGCAAATCGAAAGTTTGAGGGCGGGTGGGGGTGCAAATGAAAAGTTCGAGGGGGGGGGGGGGGGTGCAAATGGAAAGTTTGTCCCCGGGCGCCGGGAAGGGTCGCTACGCCTCTGACTTGACATGAAGTAGAGTTCATGTTACTTGCCCTCTACATATCAAGGGATGATGTGGTCAGCACTATGTACAGCCCCAATATATATATATATATATATATATATATATATATATATATATATATATATATATATATATATATATATATATATATATATATATATATATATATATATATTATATATATATATATATATATATATATATATATATATATATATATATATATATATATATATATATATATATATATATATATATATATATATATTGGGGGTACCGACCCTCCCTAACACCTCGTGCCTACGCCGCTGACGTGACAACTACGCTGTATTGGACATGGCAGATGACAACATATTAAGTTCAACTTTGGCAGTTGTCACATTCGACTGCGGCGTGTAACTCGAACAATATACGCTCATCAAGCAACGACTTTAACAGCCCGGTCAAGTATACCGGCAGGTGGCGCCAGCCGGCTTTAGAAGGTTCCAGGATGCCGTTAGCGAATTGTGTTGTATCGCGAATGATAGGATTATCGATAATCTTGAATTGTCATTTCTGACGATGCGTAACCAATATCTGACAAAGTAAATTATTCGCGTAAGGCTTATCGCTAGATAATTAAATTAATTTTATGGCTTCTTTTGATTTAACAGCGGTTAATGGCAACGTAAAAAATTAATTTTTATACGAAATTAGGTGGTCCATTAGCTGGTCCATGAATGAAGTCAAGCATAAAAAAGGGAGGGGGTTAGCGGTGGGGGGGGGGGGGTAACTGACTTTTGAAACCTGGTTTGGCGTAGGCAGTGGTGGGTTTAGAGTTTAGTTGAATCTTTCCCAACTCTTTGTTATTTTGCAATATACATTTTTAAAAAAATAAAAAGTTATCATTAGTTGTAAATTTAATAACAAGATTTGTGAATATGGTTTTGCTGTCAAATGGGAAAATATGTGTTTACATTGGTTGTAGTTCTGGTTTCACTTCACACAAAATATATTTCTGAGTTCCGGTGGCGTCGCTAGGTCGGGCGTCACCCGTTGCGGCACTTCTTGGCGTAACGATTTAATTTATAGTCTGTTAATAATACAGTTGGATGTAACATTGTTTTCTCTATAGTTAGCACGTTTTTTACGTCATGGTGTCACCCCACCCTCTTGTAATAATTGTCGATTTGTACTTAAAAGACTATTTAACTTTAGCTAATCATTAATGGAACTGGTAAAAAGCAATTTTCTTCTGTATATTTTGGAGTTTTTTGCCATGGTGACACCCCCCCCCTCCTAAATGGTGTCACCCACGCCCCCTAAATGGTGTCACCCCCGCCCCCTAAATGGTGTCACCCCCGCCCCCTAAATGGTGTCACCCCCGCCCCCTAAAAATGGTGTCACCCCCCGCCCTGCCCTCGCTACTCCCTCGCTGGGTTCACTTCAAACAAAATATATTCCTGGGTTCACTTCAAACAAAATATATTCCTGGGTTCACTTCAAACAAAATATATTCCTGGGTTCACTTCAAACAAAATATTTTCCTGGGTTCACTTCAAACAAAATATATTCCTGGTTTCACTTCAAACAAAACCTATTTTTGGGTTCATTTCAAACACAATCTACAACATTTATTTTAGTGCTGTCGCATTAACCTATATCAACTTATGGACATATACCTTTTACATTAACTAGTTTTATAGTTTTAAAAACCACCCAACAAAGAACGCGCATGCGCAAACTGGCCATTCATATCCCCAGGACGTTGACCCCGCCCTGCTCTGATGAGTACCCACGAGATGGTGAGGCACACTTGAAGGCTGAAACAGTCCTGGGAGTGTCACGAGCAAACTCTACTGCATCTACTTCGCGTTGATCGTCAGGTGAGAGATGGAATTTTTATTTCGCTTTTCTCTATATAATGAAAGTTTGCTAGCGATGCGTTATAATTTACCTCTGTTGCAGTTTCATTTTTATTAATCGCGATAACCCATACTAGTAAATTTTAACAATTTATGGATAGATGTGTGATTAAAGCACTCGCATTAATAAACTAGCATTTAAAGATAATTTTGTGATAGAAAAAGTTATGCAGGCCTATCGTCCTGAAATCGCGTCAAACACGTAAGAAGAAAGTGAGTGAGAGAGAGATAAAGGGGGGGGGGGGAGGGGCGGGTAAGATTTACGTGGTGGTGTGATGAGGAAGTGGGGGATTGGGTGGGTAAGAAAAGGTGACGTCACATTCAGTGATGTCACACTTTTGTATTTTAAGTGACAAAAATGAGTGACATGATTTACAGACCCCCACCCTCCCCTGTAAACGTTTCCTACTACGTGTCAGTTGTTTAACTTTGACACGAAGAGCTCATTAAATTAATAACCTGGACGCTATTTATTTATTTAAAAAAAAACCTGATTTCAATAGCACGTGAGGGTTTTTAAACAGCAGATGGTATTTTAATACACTGACAGGCATATTACATAAAAACCTCGTTCTGACATTTGTACAGCGAACGTTTAATTTTTTCCTACTGTTTTTAAAATGACAGAGTGACTTCCTAAGCCTGGGCGAGATTATTTTTGATCGCTGTTATGTCTAAAACATAATTATTTCTGCTATATAAATGTGATTTTCTCATTTAAACAATATTATCATGATAGATTTTTCCGCTTGGGATAATTACTAGACCGCAGGTTTGTAGTGTGTATTTGTGATCTTTCTTCCTCTTCTTCGTTCTTAATTTTTAGTGTTGGAAGGCATCGAGCCTTATCTGCCAGAGGGTTTGAACTCGAAACTTTTGTATTTGTGATGTTTTGTGACGTTTGTGTTGTGTTTATTATAGTACCAACAGTAAGCCGTAATTGTTTAATGTATTGCCATTGGCTGTGGCCGCATCATAAGGTTATCATGAGTGTCCTTGTCTAGTACCAATCAAGTATTCCAAATGTGGGCCTTCGTACCTTTTTAAAAGTTGTTGATATCATGTTTACAAGATTATACACATAAATTGTTTTGGCCAGATAATTTTTCGCAAATGCTAACCTCTCCTGAATATTATAACCAGGTCTACACAACTGAAACTCGTATTGCGATACGTTAACCCTTACTGTAATTTAATCGTATAAGTTTTAAGACCAGTGATTCGATACATGGTGGAACGGAGTGGTCGAATGGTAGAGAGTTTTGCAGCTAGCCCGAAGGTTTTGAGTTTGGATCTCGATTCTAGCTTTTTGACTGTAGGACGTCCCTGAAAACTCAATCCATTTAAATTGTTATAACAAAAATCGGTTTCGATAGTGATTAGAAACAAAAAGTGCTATTTTTGTAACGATAAATATTTTAATTACAGGATTCCTTTAAAGCCGATTTTGGTCTTCACTTCTACAGTTATTCTACTAAATTATATTTTTCCTCTTTCTCGCAGTCCCCGTCTACTTAACTTAAATCAAATTTCTTCTGTTCGTTAATGACCACAATTTAAAAAAAAATGTAAAACATTTTTACATTGTGAAAAAATGTTTGGCTTTAGTTTTAAAATATATCTAAATTTTACTATTCAGTGTGTTGGTGACAGCTCAAAATATCCCATGACCCACTCTACTTCACCTATCCTATGACAACCCTAGAACCCCGGATCTCATTCCACCAGTACTAGACGTCTAGCAGCACCCCCGGCTGAAGAATGAGCCAGGACTTTTGCCGCTGTGGGAGGATCAACATCCTGGTCTACGTGCTGGTCATCTTGTTCGCCGTCTCCTCGTGGGTGGACATGAACGGCCTGTGGATGGAGCTGCCCATCCTCGTCCAGAATTTACCTGAAGGCTGGGACCTGCCCTCCTACATGGGTGTCGTTATCCAGGTAAAGTACCCGTCATTATCCAGGTAAATCATCCATCGTTATCCAGGTAAAATATCCTTTATTATCCAGGTAAATCATCCGTCACTATTTAGGTAAATTGCCCGTCAGTATCCAGGTAAAATATCCGCCAGTATCCAGGTAAAATATCCGTTATTATCCAGGTAAATTACCCGTCATATCCTGTTAAATCATCCACCATTATCCAGGTAAAAGATGCATCATTATCCAGGTAAGTTATCCGTCATTGTCCAGGTAAAATATTAGGCTTTATCCAACTGAAGTACCCGCCATTATTCAGGTTAAGTATCTGTCTTTATCCAGGACAGTTATCAATGATGGGCATATTAAAACACAAAGTGTAAACAATACATTCTACAAATGGATAAAATTATCTTTAGATTAGATTGTTTGAAAAAAATTATATGCTATCTGGCCTAACACAGTTATCTTTATTATAATGGCTATACTAAACACAGAAATAAAAAAAAAAGTTTTTTTTTGGAAAATTGTAACATAAAAAAAGTCAACACAGTATTTTTTCCAACATGTATTCAAGCTAAACTTTTAGCCTCTTTAATTTAAATACGTACCGTAGACAGTGTTTCTTCCAGGCATCTCTTCGAGGGGGGGGGGGGGGGGGGCGAGAAGAGTCTACCGCATACACCCGAACGAAATGGCATTTATGTAGAAAATATATACATTTAACAGTGACCCCCCGGAGAATGAAGTCTGGAAGAAACACTGACCGTAGAAACACGTCAACTTTATTCTGATAAAAAAAAAACATTTAAAAAACCCCTGTTTCAGATAGCGAACATAGCCCCGCTGGCTTACACCATCGCCAACACTCGCTGGCCCGGTCGCAGGCTGGAACTTCCGGTTATCTACGTCATCATCGTCCTCGGCGCCGTCTCGTGCCTCCTGCTGGCCTACCTGTGGGACGTGACGTCTGACATAGCAGGCGAGAGCCACAGCACGGCGCTACTGGTGCTTCAGTTCTTCCTGGCTCTGGTCGACTGCACGTCCTCCGTCGCCTTCCTGCCGTTTATGTCGGTCTTTAAGCCCCAGTACATGACGGCGTATTTCTTGGGGGAAGGCTTCAGCGGACTGATTCCAAGTCTCGTGGCGCTTGCTCAAGGGGCCGGAACTATGGAGTGCCAGAATTTTCCAATTAACATTAATAAAACAATAGATGTCAATAATAATTCACATCACTATACAAAGGATGATATCGAGAGAAATACAACATTTTTGTTTTTTAAAGAAGATTTAAATAATTCATCCTCACCTATTGCTTTTATGAGATATCCGGTTTATCAAGAACCGAAATTTTCCGTTCGGACGTTTTTTCTGTTCCTGATGGCGCTGCTCACGCTAAGCGTCATAGCGTTCACGCTGCTAAATTTCTGGTCCTACTGTCAGCAAGAGTACGCGCAGCTGGCACCGGAAGACGAGAAAGAGAAACCGGAAACGGAAGATTCCGAGGTTCAGCTTGAGTTCAACGAAACGGAAAACTGTGTTATGATTACTTCTACCAACAATCAAAACCTGGGCAGCGACAAGAACTCTTGCATTCATAAAAACAAAATTTCAGATCGGCACACGCAAACGTATTCATTTTCAGATAAAATCAACGGGAATACAAAACCTGTTTCGAAAGTAAAAGTTGTGCACCCCAAACTATCAGAAATCCCCGTGGTTATAAATAAACCTGAAAGCAAAATGCCGAGATCTAAGTACATCATGTTCATGTTGTTCACCTTTTGGTTAAACGCCTTGTCGAATGGCGTCATGTTTTCCATACAAACCTACTCCTGTCTGCCCTACGGCCTAGACGTCTACCATTTGAGTATCACCCTGTCCTGTATCAGCAACCCGCTGGCCTGTTTGGTCTGTATTTTTCTCACGATGAGATCCCTGGCCAAAACCAGTTGGATGACCAGTGTGGCAACCCTGTTCGCCGTCTACATCATCTACACCGCGGCGAGGAGTCCCGACCCCCCTCTAGTTGGTTACATCTCTGGCTCCATAATCACGGTAAGTGTGTGTGTGTGTGTGTGTGGGGGGGGGGGGGGGGTTAGTCCAGAGGCGTAGCGAGGGGGGGGCGGGGGGGGGGACATATGTCCCCGGGCGCCGACCTTAGGGGGGCGCCAAATTGAAAGTTTGAGGGGGGGTGTGCAAATCGAAAGTTTGAGGGGGGGGGTGCAAATCGAAAGTTTGAGAGGGGGGTGCAAATGAAAAGTTCGAGGGGGGGGGGTGCAAATCTAAAGTTTGTCCCCGGGCGCCGGGAGGGTCGCTACGCCTCTGGTTTAGTCTCTTCTATAGACTCCCTAAATGGCATCTGTCTTACGTTAGTTCTTTTCGTTATGGGTCTCTTGTATGACTTTCTATTTCAAAATTGTGCAATATCGTAAAACCATAATTTTACAAACAGAAATAAATGGTAATTTTTTTTGTGAAAACACCCACCCATAACCTGTATGACTCCGCCACTGATTGGAAGCATAAATAATACCAACGTCCGACAACCGAGTTATCCAAACATTGTTGTGATAGTAGAATTGTAATGTCAAGTTTAATTTTAGGGCCCGAATTAGAATTAGGCTGTGTTGGGGCTGAGGCTAGGGTTTGGTTTAGGTATATTATCCTGTTATATAAGTTTGTAGGTTATTACCAGTAACACCCTTTAAAAAAGACAACACCATCATTGTCACACCATCTGACACTGGCATAATCGTAAACAAGAGACTGATATTTTCTTTACTTACACATGTATGTAATGATACACTTTTACCTCGCCGTATCCAATCAACTACAGTTTGTATAGTTTGACACATTTTCTTTACTACTTAAATGATTGTACATATCTTTATCCCAATCCCAATGTTCTAGATCCCTAGTCCTAATCTAACAGTATTCGCTTACTGCCCTATTGTTGTCAATATCCCAAAAGATCTGAACGACCCCTCCCCTCGTCACACACATTGTTACATGATGTCGATTATTGACACCCCCCCCCCTGGGTCGGCGCGGTCGAGTCGGTAAAGCTCACGGTAGCTAAACCGAAAAGTCTCGACTTCAAACCCCGGGGCAGATGAGGCTCGTTAGCTCGGAGCAGCTACTCTTCTAGGAGAGACAACTCCAAAATCAAACAACTGCTGCCTTGTAGTTTGTTCTTGGTTGGACAAAGGCTATGGAAGCAAATCCAAAAAGAAAAGCTGGCTGAAATCAGAGTCAATGGCCTCAAGTCAATGGCGCATAACCAGTTGACACGTATACTTAAATGTGTTGGACGGGGATCCCTTCCAACACTAAAAATTTAGAACGAAGAAGAAGAAGAGAAGAAGACGACCCCCCCCCCCCCAATACCTAACTATATATTTTAATCTCTTCAGGTGACGGTGTGGACGCTGGGAGTGTTTACAATGACGTACTGCAAAGTTTCCATAGCAACCGAGTTTCGATCCGAGGGTAAAAGAGCTCTGATGTGGGTGGGGGCGGCAACCCAGGCCGGCTCTCTCGTGGGTGCAATAGTCACCTTCGTCCTGATCAACGTGTACAAGGTGTTAACGGTGGCCAACCCGTGTCGCTAGACCTGGCCAAGGCCATCTTCAGATTAGATTGTGTTTTTATTGTGGCCATTTAGTGTAGCTAGACCTGCCGTGGCCATCTTCAGATGACTGTTTTTATTGTGGCCATCTCGTGTTAATAGATTTGGCCAAGGCCATCTTCAGTTTACACTGTGTTTTTATTGTGGCCATCAAGTGTGGCAAGACTTGGCCAAGGTCATCTCCATATTACATTGTGTCTTTATTGAGGCCACCTGGTGTTACTAGACTTTGCCAAGGTCATATTTCGATTACATTGTGTTTTTAATGTAGCTAATCATTTGGGTCAGACTTGACTGACGCCATTAATAGATTACATTGTGTGGCTAGATATGACCAAGGCCAAAGTGTGATTACTCTGTTCTAGTTTTAATAGAATTGATGTGTACAAATCAAATATTGATTAATAGTATTACGATTGATAAATGAATACATTAAAATCTAACCTGAAGAGATTATAGTAGCACGAAAACCAGTACTGATTCGATAAAGGCAAACATTTTTTTTTATAGATCTGTCGGGAGCCTTGCTGCAAGACATTTAGATATCCTGTCACTAGACTATTTGTTGATGTTCTTTTTAACTGGCCACTTTGTCAGAGGCCCTTGTAACTGAACACTTTGTTGCAGCTCATGTAAACAGGCCTATTAATTATAGCTCTGTTAATTGGCCCTTTTTGTCACAACACTTTATTACTGGCCACTTTGTTACAGCTTAACTGGCCACTTTGTTACAGCTTAACTGGCCACTTTGTTACAGCTTAACTGGCCACTTTGTTACAACTTAACTGGCTTATTTGTTAAAGCTTAACTGGCCAGTTTGTCACAGCACCTTATAACTGGCCACTTTGTTACAACTTAACTGGCCACTTTGTTATAACTTAACTGGCCAGTTAGTTGCAATTTCTACTGTGGCAATGGGGCGGTTTGGTCGATTAGTAGAGCGAACGGCTGTTAATCCATAAGTCAAGAGTTCGATTCCCGGGTTCGAACCGTGATAATTTTCACCAACCTTCCCCCTCCCGCTCTCGTGAGTACATGGCATACAGAGATATACAAAAATATTACTTATACCTAGGTCACGGAAATAGATGAACTCTACTTCATCTGTCACATTGACAGTCAAATCCAAAAGGTTCCTTTACTTTTCAGTGACCATTTTAATTGTCTTAATGTTTTTTTAGCAATTCTTGTTAACTAAATGAAGAATCTTGATACAGTTTTCCCCGTGAAAAGAATGTTTTGTAATGTAAACTCCATGCATGATCTCATTGTTTTATTGAATATGTCGCTACACAAAACGTCATTCATTAATCCAGGTAGTTTTGACATAATTAAATTTGACAAGAGCATTAATCACAATAATATTCATCTTAGATAGATCTTTACACATAAATGACATATATTACATTTTGTATGGAAAGAAAATTCATTCAATCAACATTAATTATACAAGTTTCATTTAAATATTATATGTGAAAGAAAGATGCGTGCATTTTAAAATATTAATGAATGTTTTAAAATGTAACATTTTATATGAAAAATATAATTTGTTAAAAATGTGTATGTTTGTATTATGTAGTTTTTCTAAAAAAACACCTTCAATTAAACTATGTGCACAGTTTAATTTTTGATAAAGAAATAAATTTGCGAGTTAATACATTTATCATTAATTTGCCATTGAAGAATTCAAGAAAATATGCCTATGTACAAAATTTGTTACAAATTTGTTAAGATTTTTGTGTTTATCAATGATAACATGCCAGTTTAATTTTTTTTAAATGAGCAAACCGTAGCAAATCAGGGTGGCCATAAAAACAAATTGAGACCAAATTTGTTTTTATCTTGTCTCGGTACAAGAGGAAAAAAATCAGCACTTTGAAACTGACATTCATGTGTGTTGGAAACTGTGGTCAAATGGTAGAGTGCTCAAATACTAACCCGGAAATTTCGAGTTCGGATTTTCTTCTTTTCCCCCCGTGGTCTAGGGAGAAACCGTTTGGAGTGGGAGAGGGAGGACCCAATGTGAGTTCGGTATAGAGGTTATTTAGTCCGTCCAGCTCTGACGGGTACCTGGCATGAATTGGGGAAAGTAAAGACGGCTGTGCCTAGTTCTGGTGACGTGTGGGATACAAGTAAAAAATAAATTAAAAAAAAAGACTAAACGAATACCCCATAAATTTGGTTTTCTTAAAAAGTAAAGTCGATCACCGTGTTCTCGGGCAGATGATGCTGGACAGCTGGGGACAGCAACTGTTCTAGGAGAGACAACTCCAAAAATCAAACAACTACTGCTTTGTAGTTTGTTCTTGGTTGAACAAAGGCTATGGGAGCAAATCCAAAAAGAAAAGCAGGCTGAAATCGGAGTCAATGGCCTCAATGGCGCATAACCAGTTGACACGTCCCAGTCAGCACACATATATTGGCCCAATATTGGCTAAACATTGGTTACCAATATTGGCTACATCTTGGTGCAACATTGGCTTAACCTTGGCCAAACATTGGTAGTGAAACTCGGCATGATGTTGGCGCAATGTTGGCACAATATTGGCTATATCCCGGCTACATATTGGCCCAACATTGGCTAGATCTTGGCCAAATATTGGCTATATCTTGGCCCAATATTGGCTATATCCCGGCTACATATTGGCCCAACATTGGCTATATCTTGGCCAAATATTGGCTATATCTTGGCCCAATATTGGCTACATCTTGGCAGAATAATGGCAATATCTTGGCCCAATAATGGCTATATCTTGGCCCAATAATGGCTATATCTTGGCTATACCTTGGCTCATTGTGTATTTTATCCTGGCTACATCTTGGCCCAATATTTGCTATATCTTGGCCCAATAATGGCTATATTTTGGCTGTACCTTGGCTCAACCTTTTTTTATATCCTGGCCTAAAATAGGCTCAAATTATGATTTTTTACATACAAAAAGCTCCATTCTCATATCAGTCATAATATTTACAAAGTTAATTTCAAAATGTGAAAGAAACTTTAATCAAAATGTAATAAAGCAGCAATACATTCACAAAAAACTGTTCATCTATTAAAATATGTATTATACAATTCATTCAAATGTAAGAAAACTATAACTATATTATAAAGTACTGATAGAAAATGAATATGTAAATAGTAGTCTAGTAGCTTTCATGTTGACTTTTAATTTTATACAAACAAATTAAAAACAAATATACAAAAATGTTCATATAATGTAACAGCTGTTAAGTACAGTTTAAATTAAACTAATGTAAAAACTTAATTTACTGTACAAGAATACAGAAGCTGTCGTGTACTATGGTAAGTAAAAATAACATTCAAACAAAATAGGCCTACTTAATTTATACATTTAAATAACAGGGGTAATAGTATTTGTTAAAAAATTTCAGCATTTTCACAGATTTACAATGTAGTAAACACTATCACTAAGGCATTTATGTTATTTTGAATAAACTTGTACTTCTATTAAAAAAATGATTTTTTAAAAATACCATTAATGAAGGTAAGCAATTTTGTTTTACTTGGGATTGGGGGGGGGGGGGGGGGGGCTGATGCTTAAAATAATCACTCAGCCTCTTTATGATTATGTAGCTGTTTGTTGGGGCCCTCACTTCTTTTTCTCCCCCCTGCACGGTCACCAGACATGGCAAGCCATTCACTTGTCCCCTTTTCCAGTTCTTTTATAGTAGAATTTTTAAAAGATCTTAGTATAGAATCTGAAAAAAAATAGTAAAACTTATCAGCATCTTGCCTTGTCAATTCTTCTGTCCATATATCTGTCATTTACCTCATCTTTGTCTTTCTGTATAGGCAGACAGCTCTAGATATATACAAATAGGCCTATATAATTTTAAGTTATTGGAAGCAAAGAAGCCATTTTCATTTTACCAAAAATTGTCATCTTGAGGTTCCGGAGGTCATTGAATTTCAGTTTTCCTTTTTTGCCTTCAAATGAGTAAAGAGTCGACAATTGAGGACATATTAATTCTTTTAAAACCCTGAACAGACCATGTCGAGCATTTTTACCTCCATAGTTGCTGAGGTAAAGACTCTGTTGAACAAAAAGTATTCAGTTAATACAAAGTATTGAAAGAAATATAATACACTCTAGTTTCTAATTTAACAGTAATTTTGTTATAACATTGCTTACCATCCTCTTCTGTACTGCAGTGTCATTCAGACAACTATCCAGGCTGACCATTTGCTCCACTGTCTCTAAAGGAAAGGTGTACCCTTCTGGCAAGCTCTGGATAGTTTCTGGCATATCCTCCCCCATACCATTTAACTTAGCCTCAAGCCTATCCACTTTTCTATGCAGGCGCCGGATTTCTTCAAGCAGCTCTGCGTTGTTTTCCATAATCTTTTTAAAAAATGGCATCAGCTGATCTGTACTTTGCTGGGTGACTAGAAAATAAATAGTTTATGTCAAATCTTTACTAAATTTTTTTACAAACAAAAGCAAGAATGCTAACAAAGTAATGATTTATTTTTAAAAAATACAATACACTTACAGCCAGAAAAACTAGGGGACGCTGAAAACTGTGCATATGATACAGGGGGTTTTGGAACAGCTTTGGAAGCTTCAGGTGGTTGTGGCAAATATTTTATGGAAGGTATAGGTGACCTTGACCTCCGCCTCACCCGACTCTGCACTGCTTCTTCCTGGCAGGTGATGATTCTGATGATTCAGAATCATCATTGGGACTCCTAATGCAAAATTTTTATTTTCATTATTTATACAAACATAACAAACTTAAATGAGGCTATATATTTAGATCAAGATCTAAATTAGAGATTGTAATATATACCATCTAATTGTTGGCCGTGACTGCCGATGTGGCTCTGATCCTGAGCTCTCAACATCACTCTTATCTAGAGCCTTTCTCTCGAGTGATTTTATTTTTTCATAGGAAACTGTAATGTGATAAAAATGTCTAAATGTTATAATAAAACATTAAAAAACAATAATATAATTGTATTATAATAAGTATATGTTACTTTTAATATTTAAAATTTTTAATATAAGTAATTGTTGGTAATTTAAAAATATATTAATTCTTACCATTGCTGTGCAGAATTTTCTCATATGTAAAAATCTGCCAGCTCTCACATGGCTGCTTGGCATTGCGCACCCATGCATCTCCAGCAGTTGGTGTGCTTGGCCAGTAACATTGGTTTTTGCCAGGCAGCAGCCACACATCTGGCACCACCATCACCATCCTTACATTGTCCTCAACAGTTTCCAGAAGGTGGTACATTCTTTAACTTTAATACAGACTTAAATACATAAACTATACTAATTGCAACAAATATGAATACACAGTATTTACATAAAAATTAAAGCCTTAAATGGATTAGATAAAACAAATTCTAATATTTTTGTTCTTTGTGATTCAGAGGAAGCAGCACATATCTCTTTTTGTATGGTAAGAGAACACATTTCTGTTCAATTTTTGATACATTGAATGTCTCTAATTTACCTGAAAGATTTGACACCTCAAAAATGCTCAATTTTGAGGACAATAATGGATATTGAAAAAAATCATAACATGTTAGAAATCGCTCAACAACAAGTACTGGTTCAGAAGACAAATCCATAATGAGAATGTTTCTAAGCAAAAAGAAAGTGTCTTCAATTTTAACACAGTTGTCTCCATTATCTATGGAAAAAAAGATACCTTTAAAATTAATTTGAGCAAATTGATCACATCTAACTCCATTTGGCAATGGCCCAAGACAATGTTTTTTTTTTGGAAAAGGATAAGGCTTGTCAGTTACAAAATCTTGAGATGAAAATAATCCTTTATCTGAGACTGCTCTTTCCGATAACCTCTTGACAACTTGTTCTAATGGTGTCTGTGGTTTACGAACAAGTTTCTTCAACATACCCAAAAAATTTTCGAATGGAAAAGCACTGAAAGAATCTAGTGGTCCAAAATTCTTAACATCTGCTGCCAAATGTGTGAGCCCATGCACATTATAAACCAGAAATTCTTTACCATAAAGTTCTTTAGCTTCTTCTACAAACATACACAACAGTTCATGTGCATAATCAACATGACTGTAACATAAAGTAGGACTAGTAAGGCAATAAATACCAACAAAGAATAAAAGGTAATGACTATAATGTACTTTGTCTATATTTCCTTTCAATGCAACTATACCACTGTATAACAAAAACTGCCTAAACTCTGTAGCTTTCCACCTTTCTATATCATGCAGAGAACGGCATTTTCTAGAGAATTCACGTGGAATATATTCTTTGAAGAGTAGTAGACGGTTTGATATCTGCTGGACAGCCTGATTTCCTATTCTAAGGCCTTTTGAAACTGGACTCTTAAGCCAGAGTAAAAGAATTCTTCTTGTAACCCCTAAGCACACTAAATGCATGTAATCTAAAGGAAACTGAGTGACCATGCCAACTGACAAACTAGTCAAGGGAGATAATCCATGAAATTGATGATTTTCATCTTCAATTAAATCGAAAGCTTCATCTGAACGTAATGTTGCATTTATTTCAGGAAAGATGACTTTTTCAGCCCACTCCCCTTTTTGACAACATTTATCACAGCCCCAGTAACCTGAATGCCCTTTTGTTTTCTTAACAAAAGACCGCGCTGGAGCATCACATATAAAACAAGATATACACAGTTTAATAGGAAAAATAGAATCTTCGTTGTCTTCAAATCTGAGTGAAGTGGCACCTTTCTCGAGTACTTGCATTTCATTCACAAAATCCGTTAAATATTCTTCAATGCTAACTGGTTTGCTACCTCCATAATACAAACCAATAAGGAATGGATCAGATTCAAATGGTTTACAAATTCTTCCAAGAATTGGCCAAAATTGACTGCATGAGGATTTAAATAAAGGCAAACCATCAAAATTAATTTGCAAATGGATAACTGGAGTCTCATTTGGATGAGAATGTAGAAATTTAAATAAATGTTTCGATTTTGTTAAGCAATTTTCAATTCCAAAATGGTAGTATGCACCACCTGTAATAGCTTTAACATTTATTTTTCTAGGAGTTTTCAGCAAAGTTCTTGAATCCTTTGGTAATGAAGGGTGGTAGGTGCACAATAAGCACAGTAAGGCACTAAGTGCATCATTTTTTATTTGAAAATCAATAGCCCACTTTCTGACTTCCTCTTGTAAATTATTTTCATAGTTGTCTTCTGGCGATGAGTCTGCATCTGTCTCACAATCTACATCCGACAGAATATCATTTAAATCTGTATAATCATAATTGCTAGTATTATCATACATGTGTTGCTCAGCGCCAGTCTGTTGATGGTGAGCTTCGTTTCTAACTTCTGAATAACATGCTTGGTGACCAGTTACTGTGACTGGTGTTGATGAATAATTTACACTGTCAAACTCATTGAGAATAGGCTTCTGATTACTACTTTTATCAATAGGCCTATCATACTCATAATCATAATTCCTGGGCCTGCCTCTGACAGAAACGTCATGTACTGCCCTTATACAGTCAGCTAAATCATTACTAACCCTTTTTCGGGTAGCTCTCCAAATAGAACTTTTAGATGGTTCTTTCGTTGAAAACATATTTATTATTTAAAACAATCACCTAGACTGTTACTGTAATGCCTAACTATGTAAATAGACTTCCTCTTATTTAATGACAGAAAGTGTTTTCTACACCGCAATATGAATTTATGTACATTATTCTCCTCACTGTTGAAAAAAAAGTCAATAATTGGTGCAATACCTGTTGATGCGACAAGCTCACCTGTTGTCGGATAATCTGTTATCAATAAAAATTGACGATGTTACCTGTTGATTAAGTGGTTTTAAGTCCTTGAAAGGATTATTAACAGAATCCAAACGTCGGTAGATTAAGCGATGATAAAGACGAGGTCTTAGTGCCGCTGGCTTGATACAACAAAGGCTCTGTTGTTGAGGAAAATGGCGAGCGAAGAATGGCAAGCAAAGACCAGCGGGATGCTGGCTTGATAACAATAGAAAGGAATGTGGACATAGAATTTAGGCCGAGATGCGATGGACCAGCGTGACGCTGGACGGGTAGCCACGCACACAATTTTAAAAATATTAAACAAAATGTTTAAAACACGCAACATAGATTGTAGTTAAATCTAATTTTAAACTGAAGTATTATATTTGATTTTTAACGTATTTCATGGAACATATATTAAGTTTAACAAACCTATTTAAATAAAATTGCTGCAGTAAATACATAAATCATTGTAATCTTGGCAAGCCAGGGTAAAAACGGTTAAATATCAAGGTATCAAGGGAAGCTATTCAAAACAAAGGGATGCAAGCACGTACAAATCTTGGCCGTATCCTGGCATAAGCATGGCGGGACCTTGGCCAATTTATCGCCAAGATAGCGATATTGGGCCAACCTTGGAACGACATTGGGTTGATAAATTGTGTTAGCTGGGGTATACTTAATTGTATTGGAAGAAATCTCTTCCAAAATTATGAACGTAAAAGAAGATCACAGTGTTAAAAAAATGCCTTGCTGAAACGAAAGCATACTAACCAAAAAGCTTAATTATTTTACGAGATGTATAAAGAGTATAAATATGTTAAGCGTCACCAATAAAAGCCCATTTAATCCCCTTCCATCCTAGCAAAATTCTTAGAAAAAAAAATTCGCCAGATCCCCAACCCTAACACTAAGTCGCAAAGTTTCATCACCGCCCCTTCATCTGCACTTCTAACGAGAACTAACACGCTTTTCATAGTTATTTTTAAGCAATAAAAATAAATGCGTACATTTTTCATCCCCTCCACATCAACATTCCCTCTGAGGGGGAAAAAGCTAGTGTGCATTTTGTGTTCTGGGATTCTGAAAGTCGTACAAGAATATATATGTATTTAACAAATGGACTGCGCGGCATATTGGAAAATAATGCGCGGCCGTAAACCGCGCAGTTTAGAGGGAATCATTGCTCCCCACCTATCACATCGTCACACAAGTCTGATCCCACTTGTTCACGTGACTGTGTGACGTCATATATGGACGAGCACTATGGCAGTCATAGACTAACGCTGAACACGTTCAGCCTGGCCGGTAGATCACAAGACAAAAACACAAGAGCCAAGCTGGCAACATCAAATCAAATATCAATATAGCCACGAAACAACAGTTGATTTATGTGAGTTGTGTGCTATACATAATTATACACCACAGATAACGCTTAATTATGTACGTTGGCATGTCGGCGTAATATAATTTTTTTTTTAATGAAAATGGACACTGATTTAATAGAGATATATTGCTTTTGATAAAAATAAAACGCCATTAATGTTAGACAAGCTAAAATATTTTTGAGCCTACCTACTCAAGAAGGCATCAACAACGTTTGTAAATTTAAATCTAATAATAATGCAAGCAGTGTCTAAGACTAATTGATTATATTTGACACGATTTCTTTTTTTGTCATGACAATTTAAAAATGTCTCACATTAATATAGAATTGACTGAATATTATAAAACCAAGTTCTCGAAAATATTGAAGAGATTTCGATTCTATACATGTGTAGCAGAGTTTGAACGCATCGTTTTCTCATCACACTTTTTATGCAACTTCCGCCACAAAACCAAAATAGCAGCAGGCTGATCTCCCTGCTGTAGTTGTCTCATGGTCATCTCCCTTTGTTTTTCCTCCATGCTCTTCTTTTTCTTCTTCTCCTTCTCTGCTTGCTTTGGTTTTTCTACTTCCCCATTTGTCGTCACAACTACCGTTTGTTCCGCGCCGTTTTCCAGAAGTTTTGTCAGTTTTTCGTCCTGGTCATTCTTGGGCTGAGATTTTCGTTGGCAGCGGTTGTAGATGGTGTAGATGATGACTAGGAGAAAGAGCGGCAAGGGCGTCATGATGGCAGACGATGCGGGTCCCACGGCCGCCAGCTGGTTGTCTGGTGGGGGCAGGGACAGATAAACGATGAGGAAAGCAATGCCCGAGTTCTGAAACAAAGAAAACAGAGTTACTTCCCTTGCACAATTTTTTAAAATTTTAGTTTGCCCTAGTGTTTGCTAACCTTCAATGAGTTTGTTTACATTGTTAACGTTATATTCACGATAGTAAAATAAAATCTCCTATGAAAAATGTGTAATAAAACATTCAACAGTTGAAAAAGCACCACAGTATTTAAAGGTAATATTTGCTTAACTCTTTGATAATCATTCACGATAAAATATTGTCGAACTCAATATACTCGTCAGAGCGTTTCCGCAGATCTGTATCATGTTTTTACTTTCTCGTATATACGAAGTATAGAGAAAGTATTGTAATCGTGCACAAAAATCACTTGAAATTTTAACAATTTTCACCGTATTACACCTCAGTCCTTCATCACATCCGAAGCATAGAGGACTTATTTTAATCGGGCAAAAATTATCAATCCAGATGTATCAAAATTTAGAGGTTTTATGCGTAATCCAGTTTGAAAAACTGGGCTTTGCAATTCTGTCCGTATGTCTGTGTGTCTGTGTGTGTGTGTGTCCGTGTGTAAACACGATAACTTGAGTACCGTTACAGCTAGGTTGATGAAATTTCATATATAAGTATTATATCAAAATCGTAGATCCGTATCAACTTTTGAGCGATTTCCGACAACCGGAAGTGGTACTTTTTCTACTTTGAATTTTTCAAAAGCCTATAACTTGAGTACTATTTCAGATAGATAAATTAAATTTCACATGTAAGTAAAAGATCTAATTCTCTACCTTCTGTTAAATTTTGAGTAATTTCCGTTGACCGGAAGTAGTAATTTACGCTACTTCCGATTTCTCAAAAACTAATGTAAATTTATTAAGTACTAATACTATTGCGCACTATTATACACACCTTTATTAGGCGTTCGCTTGGTGCGCAATTGTTTTTTACTGAGATTCTATTCTATTTTTAAAAGTTTCAGTATTTAAAATGGATTAAAAATCATAACTATATCCCCAGTTACCATCCCCTGTTGTTTTATATAAGAATATTCGAGAAAGTTTAGGGGAGATCACTACCGGTTTATTTTTTTTTTTAAATTCTGACTACATCAGAGTTGTTCTTGTAACAATGCCTGTACTTCAATACAGCCTTTTTTTTGCTATATAGAATATAGCATATAGAATCAGTATTGGTGTCACACTGTGGTCAGGATTAGTGTCACGCTGGTGTCAGGATTAGTGTCACGCTGGTGTCAGGATTAGTGTCACGCTGGGGTCAGGATTAGTGTCACGCTGGGGTCAGGATTAGTGTCACGCTGGTGTCAGGATTAGTGTCACGCTGAGGGTCCAGGATTAGTGTCTCGCTGGGGTTAGGATTAGTGTCACGCTGGGGTTAGGATTAGTGTCACGCTGAGGGTCCAGGATTAGTGTCTCGCTGGGGTTAGGATTAGTGTCACACTGATATCAGGGCTGTGAAATTGGCAAGGCTAGTATCGCCACTCTATCAAAATAATAACCTGCATACTCCCTATATACGTTTTTTTTTAAATTCATCGAACATTTGTAACTTGGTCTCACCTGTATTCCGGTTTCTATGGCGATGGTCTTTATCCTGCACCAGGACTGGCATAGGACGAAGGCAACCACGCCCCCGACCAGGTACCCCACGTAGGGCAGGAGGCAGCCGGCAGCGATGGTCATGGGTTTGATCATCTTGAAGATAAAGATGTTGGTGTAAATACCGAGAGCAAGCATGAACGTCACGACCAGCATTAGCACTGGCTTCAGACAGCGTTTGATCCACTTGCCGATCTTTGGGAACTGGAGATTAGAAAAGTGGATTGTGAATATCAACTGGAGATTAAAAAAGTGGATTGGGAATATCAAATGGGGATTAAAAAAGTGGATTGTAAATATCAACTGGAGATTCTTCTTCTTCTTCGTTCTTAATTATTAGTGTTGAAGGGGATAGAGATTTATCTGCCAGTGGGTTTGAACTCGAGACTTTGTTCGCATTTATCAACCATGAGCTTTGCCGACTCGACCATGCTTCCATCACAATTAAGGATTACGTGTCAACTGGTTATGCGCCTTTGACGCCATTGACTCCGATTTCAGCCTGCTTTTCTTTTTGGATTTGCTAACGAGCCTCATCTGCCCGAGGGTTCGACCTCGGGACTTTTCGGTTTAGCAACCATGAGCTTTACCGACTCGACCACGCCGACTCCAACTGGAGACTCGAAAAGTAGAGTTAAGATTAGGCTTATGTCTAGTCCAGTCTTAAGGTTTGAACTAGGGTTACAGCTAAGGCCCGGGTTTGAGTATCGATACGTAAGTTAACATCGATACCCGCTAGTGAGTATACAAGTACTGGCACACACAACACACAAGTATACTCGCCTTGTACTCGATGAAGATGCCGGCGAATATCGGCAGGATAACGAGTGCCAGAGTTTCCAGAATCTTCAAGTACGGCACGTGCAGGGAGGTCGTCTCGTCACTGAACGTGCTCCCGAGGGTGAATATCCACAGGGGGATAAAAGCTGGAGGGGAGGAGAGGGGGGAGTTAGAGGGGGGAGGTGATGAGGTTTGTGGATTAGGTGTGTGGATTAGAGGTGTGGATTAGATGTGTGTGGATTAGGTGTGTGGATTAGAGGTGTGTGGATTAGATGTGTGTGGATTAGAGGTGTGTGGATTAGGTGTGTGGATTAGAGGTGTGGATTAGATGTGTGTGGATTAGGTGTGTGGATTAGAGGTGTGGATTAGATGTGTGTGGATTAGGTGTGTGGATTAGAGGTGTGTGGATTAGATGTGTGTGGATTAGATGTGTGTGGATTAGAGGCAAGAGGTGTGCAGATAAGAGAGAGTAGCCGAGTGGATTAGAGGGGTGTGGATTAGTGGTGTATAGCTGTATGGATTAGATGAAACAGGTGTATGGATTAGAGGCAGCAGGTGTGTGGATTAGAGAAGAAGGTGTGTGGATTAGAGAAGTAGGTGTGTGGATTAGATGTGTATGGATGAGAGGCAGCAGCTGTATGGATTAGAGGCAGTAGGTGTATGGATAAGAAGCAGTAGGAGTGTGGATTAGAGTGCAGGTGCGTAGATGAGTTGTACGCCTTTAAGTTTTTAGATAAATTTATAGATAGAATTTGTAATTATAGCAAATAGTTGTATTGATAGCAAATAGTTGTATTGATAGCAAATGACTGAATGGAAAGCAAAAGGTTAATTTAGTAACAAAATATTGTTTGAATTTCAAATACTTTATGTGTATAGCAAAAACAAAAATCGTCTGAATTTTAAGAGAACGGCCCACGCACTTAACAACAAATAAAATCACTTACCTAAAGCGGCTATGTTGCTGATGGTTGTCATGGCGACCGAGAGTGCCAAGTCCCCACCGAACAAGTAAGTAAACATGTTGCTCATCCCGCCCCCAGGGACTATCCCACAGGTGAAGATACCCAGGGAGATGGCAGCGTTTTCTTGGGGCACCGTCTTGGCGACAGCATACGCGATCTATAACACGAGGAAAGGCGTTTAAATTTATCAGTTTTTATATCAGTCATCGAATGTTTTGTCTCTACAAGAAATGCGCTGTCTAACCACAATGAAAAAAAAAATAAAAAAAATAAATTTTAAAATGTATTTCTTCCTTAATGCCTTAATGTTCCTTAATCGTTTTTGACTTTAAAAAAAACCCCACTCCTAAATATGTCAGATATTGTATGGTATGACACAAAATATCTATAACATTAAATACAACTTTGTGAAAATACTAATGGTTTACAGTCAAAGGGGAGTAACAAACATGAATTTTTAAAATCAAATATTTTGTTTTCGTGTCAAAACACACACGATCGATGTTTGCATCAAAGAGAGATAAACCTTTCTAAAAAATATTGTTCTGAATGTAGACATTAATGTATTGGTTTTCGTGTTAAGGTTATGGTCTGGGTTTGTTTAGATTTAAAGTAAGTTTACTTTAAGAATTCCTACACAAAGATATGCTTAATTTATGTGTAAATAAAAAAATTACACTTAGACGATTGTATTATGGACAACTATGTTATCTTTTCTCTAAATAAAGTATTAATTTTAATTTAGACAGTCTCAAGCCAAACATCACTCGATCAGCCCTCAAGTAAATTAACATTAGAACAGTCTTCTGTTTCCCAGGTTTTTAAAAGTGCACAACCTGAATGGAAGAAAGAGATACACACCTCACCCCCCCCCACCACTCTCACACACACTTCCCCCCACTCAACCGGACAGGCGGATATTTCAAGTAGCGTGCCATCATCGCCAAGGGCCAATTTTATGTCATGGAAATTTTTGGAATGATAGATCAGTATGTGTATTACAGAGACACTTCTCCCACGGTCGTTTCTATTTCTGTCCATGGGTGACTACAATATGAACTTTTGACTCCGCAGCCAAGGACTGAGTACAGTAAACTAAGCAGTCAAGACAAACCGAGTTTGGACACCTTATTTTAGTCTAGTTCTTATGTCATTTTATTTTCTCCCTTTGATTATTATATATGCAATTGATGTTCATATATTTGATGCTGTGTAAAACTATCAAACAAATTATTATTACTGATTTAAATATTTAAAACAATTGAATTAAAAATTTAAAAAAATAAAATTGTTTGAGGACTGTATAGATATAGATGTTTGAAAGGGAAGAATGTTTGCTTTGATGTGTCTCGATGTAATAACATAACTTTTCCGATTGCTTAAAATTTGTATCATTGTAATTCTCTGTAATCACAAATTTATTACAGCTCTACTTAAAAACCCAAATGCCACCCCGTACCCCCCCCCTCAACCACCACGCCGAGGGAAAAAAATCCCTTGAATCATCATTTAATTACACATTTGCATTTTCAGGTAGGTTTTTTTCTTTTTTTTTAATTTTTTTTAAATATTTAGACGCTTTGTATTAGATATATGTATAAGTAAACCATCTGGAATGAATGAAAGTAGGCTACAAGTAAGAAATAAATATTACCATTGTAAATCTGTATCAGTCCTCACAAGCCGGTGATGAAAACTGTAATACTAAAGCGAACACACACAACTGACGCTGTAAATTACATGTCTGAGGCAAAAAAAAAAATCTTTTCTCTTTCTTTGAGACTATGTAAAACTATCAAATAAATATTACTTAAAAAAAAATCTTTTCTCTTTCTTAAAGCCGGGGACAAGTTATAGCTTGCATTAGCTAGCAGTATAAAATCTACTTAACGGTACATTCACGACCCCCCCCCCCCCCCCCCACCAAGCGCCACCACGAAAACACGCTTCGTGTAGACACGGATGTGAGCTCGTGTTCACCGTGCTCAGCACAGGATTTGAACCCCAACCACCAGGTATATGTGTCTAATGTTCTACACAATCAGTCAGTCCTAGTTCTTGTGCGCCTTCCTCCACACAACTCAACGAGGTTCCAACAGAATTTGTTTTTCGTGTGCGGATTTTTCTGAAGAATCATTACATAGGTACACTTAAATTTTGTTTATGTGCATTTATGTTACAGAAAGTTGGTATAATTTATTTATTTGTTGGTGTATTCTGTTAGTCTAGTCGTATTTTCGAAGTTCAATTTATAAATTTGTAAAATTTGGTAGCCAAAGGAGCATAGAAATTAAAGTCCCGCATTTCGTGCTGGATTTTGATCCTTTAAATATTAAATTCTGTCACTTGCTCGAAATCGTCTAGTTTTAGATCTAGCTTTAACATTAGGTGTTTGTAGTAGTAGATCTAATAGTATACACAGACATTTCTTTTACTGATTCAAAATCTAATACTTGCTTGCACCTTTCTACTTAAGCCAAAGGAAACTTATTTTACTTAACGCCCTGAGCACAAGGGTAGGAGGTAGATTAAAATTTCCTACCACCAGTGTACGATACAATAGTTTGGTCGGGTTAGAGACATGGTTGGTGTTGACATTGTTTATAACTAAAAGTTAGCAACCTTACCAACCTCATCTTATCAGGATTCATTATAGTAGCATTATCAAACATTGGATGGTTTTATATACAGATGTCCGATTATAGACTCCTCCATTATATAGGAACAAATTTGTTCTAACCCCCCCCCTGCCTACGCCACTGGTTAGAGAGAGGGTTAGCATTGAAATTAGCAAGCAATGTGTGTATTTAACTACCACCTAACACCCCTTTTTTTAAAAAGATTCTATTATCGGACACTGGTATAAAAATTCTCCCAAAAATTCCCCTGAAACATTAATATGAAAGTAGATCTACCACATGCTAAAAGAACTTGGGTTAGGTGAAGTATTTATAATAGCAAAGAAAAGTTCACTACTTGCATACCTGCAGAAGGCATTTAAATATTCTGGTACAGGTTTACAATAAGGTAGTGATTTGAAAATGTGTGTATAAAAAATATAACTAAATTCTTTTCCAGAATTAAATCATCGCCCAGTTGCCCTGCGCCCAGTTGACCATCGCCCAGTTGCCCATCGCCCAATAACACACCGCCATGTACACCTTGTTCAACACCAAAAGTATCTGGCCACCAAGTCCTGGCCCCGTCAACACAGGCCAAAATACCAAGGTACAGTAATTTGTTCTATAGATCATGTATAACAGATCAAAATACCAAGGTACAGTAATTTGTACTATAGATCATGTAAAATACAGACCAAAATACCAAGGTACAGTAATTTGTTCTATAGATCATGTATAACACAGGCCAAAATACCAAGTTACAGTAATTTGTTCTATAGATCATAACACAGGCCAAAATACCAAGGTACAGTAATTTGTTCTATAGATCCTAACACAGGCCAAAATACCAAGGTACAGTAATTTGTTCTATAGATCATAACACAGGCCAAAATACCAAGGTACAGTAATTTGTTCTATAGATCATGTATAACAGCCCAAAATACCAAGGTACAGTAATTTGTTCTATAGATCATGTATAACAGCCCAAAATACCAAGGTAATTTGTTCTATAGATCATGTATAACAGGCCAAAATACCAAGGTACAGTAATTTGTTCTATAGATCATGTATAACAGCCCAAAATACCAAGGTACAGTAATTTGATCTATAGATCATGTATAACAGGCCAAAATACCAAAGTACAGTAACTTGTTCTATAGATCATGTATAACAGGCCAAAATACCAAGGTACAGTAATTTGTTCTATAGATCATGTATAACAGACCAAAATGCCAAGGTACAGTAATTTGTTCTATAGATCATGTACAACACAGACCAAAATACCAAGGTACAGTAATTTGTTCTATAGATCATGTATAACAGGCCAAAATACCAAGGTACAGTAATTTTTTCTATAGATCATGTATAACAGGCCAAAATACCAAGGTACAGTAATTTGTTCTATAGATCATGTAAAACACAGGCCAAAATACCAAGGTACAGTAATTTGTTCTATAGATCATGTATAACAGGCCAAAATACCAAGGTACAGTAATTTGTTCTATAGATCATGTTTAACACAGACCAAAATACCAAGGTACAGTAATTTGTTCTATAGATCAGGTATAACAGGCCAAAATACCAAGGTACAGTAATTTGTTCTATAGATCATGTATAACACAGGCCAAAATACCAAGGTACAGTAATTTGTTCTATAGATCAGGTATAACAGGCCAAAATACCAAGGTACAGTTTAAAATTGTTCTATAGATCATGTATAACAGGCCAAAATACCAAGGTACAGTAATTTGTTCTATAGATCAGGTATAACAGGCCAAAATACCAAGGTACAGTAATTTGTTCTATAGATGATGTATAACACAGGCCAAAATACCAAGGTACAGTAATTTGTTCTATAGATCAGGTATAACAGGCCAAAATACCAAGGTACAATTTAAAGTTGTTCTATAGATCATGTATAACACAGGTCAGGTCAAGCTAACATGGCACTTTTGATAATCAATAAAATATTCTACCCATGTTCATGCAACTTATTTGAACCCATTTTAAGATAGTAAAGGGAGTGAATTCAGTTTTCTTGTTGATTCCATTACCTAACCTGATAAGTGAAACTAGGCCAAGATTCACGCATTATAAAGTGAATTGCCTTGTAAAATTGAAGGACTTTAAAAACAAACTAAACTTTTTATTTTCTTTTAAAACTGAAGCAATGAAATGACCTTACACAATTCTGTTACCATTTTAATACACGGGGATGTTGTGCCATGAGTACTTACAGCTAGTACTCAAAGATGTAAAACCATTTATAGAACATTTCTACAAACGTAAAACCAATATTTTTATTCTGTTTGGTCATGCAGGAATTCTTAAAGTTTCGCTAAATTAATAGAAAAGTTATAAATTTAAACTTCATTGTCCCACAGATGTACTACAACACTATTCCGGCCACACCGGTCCTGGTAGACTCCAGAACCGGAGACTCCACCTACAGCTACCAGCTGCAGCCGGGCTGGTACCCCCCACCAGCCGCCCCCTCCCGGCGCCGCCTGTCCTCTGATGACGTCTTCTACCCCGAGGGCACCTACGTGTACGAGGAGCCGGTCTACAGTTACGTGGTGACCAGCCGTCTGCCTCCACAAGTCTTCTGCGCCAAGCGGTCAAGGACGATCAAACCAGCCAAGCGTACAGGGGTGAACCCCAACAGCTTCGAGTCGCACAGGTCGCCGGACACGTCCAGGACTGGGTACACTCTGGCACCGGAAGCGTACGTAACGCCGAAAAAATACGATTACTTCTCCGAAAATTCTTCCAACACTTCCTCCAACTCAAACGAGTCCTCGCCTTCATCGCAAATCAAGGACGATTCCCTCGTCAACACTCTGTTCCCGTCGTCGCTGTACACCGTCTTGAACAGCGATCCGCCCGAGCCCAAATCTCGCGTCACCTTCAAAACCTCCAGCCCCATCGAGGGCGAGAGCAACGCCCTCCACATCGACATCGGAAAACTACGCAAGCGCCGGGGGCGTTTCGTCACTAGCTCCAGCTCCGAGAAGTGCCCGAGATTCAGCGAGAACGGCGTGTGCGAGGACCTAGACCAGTGCGATAAGATCCTGCTCAAGTCTCGCTGCGTCAACAGCGACGAGGACAAGGCCCAGAAACGGGAGGAGTTCCTGCTCATCCTGGAGGCCGAGCGAGAGCGTCAGAAGAAGCTGGTCCTGCCCAAACACACGCCCAAGATGAGCTGCAAGTTCTGCAAGAACAACGGGGAACCCCCAGAGGTGTACACTAAGCACAGGCTACACTTCAACGAGAAGACGGTGTGCCCACTGCTCAGACACTACGTGTGCCGCCTCTGCCGGAGTACCGGGGACTACGCCCACACGATTGGACACTGCCCGTTTAACAGCAAGAAAGACAAAATCGCCTATAAGGCCACGTTTCTTGTATAGTGATAGCTCTCTTGTACGTGTGTGAGATAGTTGAATGATAGAAGGCAAGGGCTAACGTTAAATCACTATTTTACATTGTCCTTCAGACTAATCCAAGTACTGAAAAGTCAAGAGACAAATTGGGTACAAACTATCAAGAGCTAGATTTTTATGAAACAATTTTTAATTACCCAACATTTTTAGTCGTCGTTCCATCACCCAGTGGTAATATACATTGTGCAATCCCGGTAACAAAATGTACATCAACGTGACTACAATATTTTTTACAGGCACACAAGTACGTACTTGGGTTATCGCTATGTAAACAGCAAACCTGCGTTAGCGGTTTATATCGTGACAAAGGGACGCAACCAAATAAACCATGAACTAGTTACCGGAAAGTGAAAAAAAAAAAAAAACAACCGTCATGACCTTTAGTGAACATTTAAGCACTACGATGTGTTGAGATTTTATAGGTCTAGAACGCCAGGGAATACACACTCAGCGGTCAAGCAGTCCCAATTTTGAAGTTCGGCCCAGTTAGCTTCTTGACTGTTGATTTGGTATTACTATGGCGTACGTGGTGCTATGTCTTGGTTGTTAACTTTCTTAACCTATGTGATAACTTAAATTTTTAATCCTATTTTATGTACCAATATTTATGGTATGCAAAGCCAAATGTTATTTTTAACTTTATAAATTTTATCAAATGAATCTGGTTTTGTTTTTATTATTTATTAACGAACAGCTTCGTTTTGAAATTGTCGCCAAGGTATCAGTTTCACAAAAGGTCAACTATAGTTTAAATTCCAAGATTAAGTGGCTGAAGTTTAATATTCGCCATAGTTATATGCACAAGTTATAAGTCAACAACATCCCCACTCGCATACACACATACATTATGCTAAATACCCTTGTATTTTTACATTACCTTTAACTGACACTGACATGTTAAAAAATTTAAACTTCGTCGCATGTTTAAATACTTTCAGACTTAAAAAATCTTTTAGAGCTACTTCAAGTTACAAACTAAAGATTTGGAGGGGGAGGGCACGAGTGTCAAAATGGTGTAGGATTTAGTTAACCTTTGACCAGCGCAGACC